AAAACTAGAAATTTGTGATCAGTGTACAAGAGAGCGTTTAACACTATCAGGCACTAAATAGGTTTGGTTTCCAAATTTTAGACCTTGAGCTACGGTCAATTATATTATTTGACTGATTTGACTATTGTTTATTCGGTGCGCTGTTATCAAACAAACAGTTGGGCATTTTCCAATATCATATTGGCCAGGTCAATTCTTACATAAACTTTGGCATCGGAATTAGATACACATAATTGGGTCTGTTAACGCCAGTCATTGTTTTTACACGGTTAAGGTTATTTACATTATTTTGTTTTCTTATAATGCCTCGTATTAATAAATCATCATATTTACATATATTAATACATGAAACGAAAAATTGTCCCTCAATCCCTTTAAAAGTGTATGTATTTATGTATGTAGTGCATGTAGTTGCACAAATTGTGTGCATTTGATTTGTCCTTAATTACACATTAATGGTGTTATCGAAAATATACTTAACTAGCAGCTCCTTTTTGTAAATAAAACAGATATCGGTCTCAAAGTTATACCAAGCTCTGAACGATTGTTTACGCTTTCAATAGCCTTTGTCACGTGTTGGAGTTGAACATGCAACACTGCGCGATATAGAAGTCGGTGATGTATTCACTCAAATCATTGGACCGTTCAATCATTTCTGTCTATAATATACCACTTATTTTCTACTATACACTATCATGACGTAGTTTTTACTCTTAGGCAATGGGCACGTCGACCAAACTCATTAACGAAGGACTGACGGTTTAATAAATAAAACAAAAGGCATATTAGAATCTTAAATAGTGAAGTGTTTGAGGTCACTAGTAAGTATTGCAATCAGTACGCTACTTTTCTGTTACAATTGTAAATACTCGAGTACTTACATTATTTACAAGTTTATGGATACACTAGAAAATCACTGGTGCACGGTACCATTTGTATTGAAAGCATGTCATATCGCGACAGCCCAGTTACTAGTAAATCTTACGAGCGTAGATAAACGATACAAGATATCAAGCACAGACTACAGAAAGAACTATCTGTATTCTGAAGAATAAAGAAAGAACTTTCTGTTATAGTTCTTTCTTCAGAATACAGATAGTTCTTTCTGTGATCTGAAATAAAGAACACATTCGCGTTCGCGTGGATTTCGAATTCGTGAATGATTAATAGGATTAGCAGGAACTGATCTTTATCCCTGGAATATGGTCAAAATTCTATTTGTATATACATCCACAATTCCTAGAGAACCTGTTAGAGAGAACACCCACTACGTAAACCCCACGCCCTAAAATTACGAGGTAAATCGCATAATGTTTTATAATTCAATTTTTTTAAAACTATGGTTTTCATCATTAACTATGGTTGGTTATGGTTCACCATGATTATTTCATGGCGTATCTTGTATTATTCATTGATCGGTTTAGTTTTCTTTAAATTTTTTGCTTTAAAATTATCTCTTTGTTGTATTCTGATAGCACTGGCAGGTGATTTTCGGTATAAAAATCATTTCGAATTTAAAAATCCTAATATAGGCGAAAAGAAAGGCGTATTTGTGTGATGTCACCTCACGGTAATGGCTTACTCAGGTACGAGATAAAAAATTAAATTTATCGATATTTAAAATAAAATAAAAATTGTAAAGCAATACACTTTAACCTGTTGTCACCTCGTGAATATAAAACGCTTGCATTATACAAACTAATGATGATTTACAAAAATAACTGGCCAAAGCCGCATACAGCCGGATCCTATCTTATATATTTTTAAGAAGTAAGCAAGCACATCAACACAACACGGGTCACAATATAAAAAAAACAAACAACCTCGAGTGATAACTAATAATGTCAGATGCCGCCGTTTCAATCGTGAATGTAGAGATATGCACGTATTGCGTGCGATAACTAGTCATGATGAAACATGGGCGTAGAGCCGTGCCTCCGCGGTGAACTTTGCTCTAGCAGCCGGCTCTGTTAAGGTGCACTCTCTTTGTGCGAATTTAAAATGAATTTCAGATAAATTAATTTCTCCGCCTCCTGACTGTTATTAAAAAAAAAAATGTGGAATTCCGACAGAAGAGTTCCTCGCGCTTCATCTCTGAGTCTTGTTGCTTCATGTCTGTCTGGTCTTTTTAAAACTACGCAACGGATCTTGATGCGTTTTTTTTACTAGGTAGAGTGATTCAAGAGGAAGTTTTGTATACATTGCACCCGTGCGAAGCTGGGGCGGGTCGCTAGTTTGAAGTTATATGTGCTTATTTTATCTTTATTTTTCTATCGTATTTTCAATGCAAATCATGTAAGATATAAGAATAACTTCTGAAAGTTTCATTTTATATTTGGTGGCAATAAAAATTAAAAATGGAAGAATGAATTATAAAAAAAAAAAATTAACTAAATTAAACATTCAATGCATTCAACAAAACATGTATCTTCAATAAAAAACAATGCATTGTTTTTCATTAAAGATACATGTTTTGTTGTCTGTGTAAGTAGTAACTAAAATCAGGTTCATAAATATTATGGTAAAATAAATTCACTCTTATCATGTCGGTCGCTAATTTTGAATAAAATTTGTTCGACAGTTTGACAATCCCCCTTTAACGCGTCACCGCCTACGTAAGTTTGTGCGTAACTGTTAATTTGATCTCGACGACATCGGTGTTTGAAATAATTGCGCTATTTCAATCATACTTTAAAGTTCTCCAACGTTAAACTAACGACTTTCGTGACGTCATAAACGTTTTTTTAATTACATTTTATTTGATTTGGATTTTATTTTCAAATAATACATTACTGCTTCTCTTTATCTTCATATATTGATTGGGGAATTGGTATAAACACAGTAAACAAATGGGGCAAGGGGATTGACATAATAGATTGGGGAAAAGCTTCTTCGCATTTTATATGAAAATTCAAAACATTTTTTAATAAAGTTTATTTACATTTAACTAAAGTATGTAGGTACCATTTTGTTCGATAACTTTCTGCCATCTTGTAGGTAGGGACATGATCTCATTGCTATAGAAATTCTGGGGCTTCTGACCAAAAAACCGCAACAAGTCCTCTCGTGATGTTAACCTGACACTGCCTAAAGAATTCTGAAGAGACCGAAACAAGTGGAAATCTGAAGGTCCAAGGTCAGAGCTATACGGCGGATGCATTAACACCTCCCAGCAAACTCTCTTAATTTTTCCTGAGTGTCTAAAGATGTGTGAGGTCTTGCGTTATCATGATGACGTCTTACATCCCTTCGGTCGATTAATTCCAGCCGCTTTCACTCACATTCTTGCTTTAATCTCATCAGTTGTTCGCAGTAGCGTACAGAATCGATGGTCTTGCCTGGCGGTAACAGCTCATAATGAATAATGCCCTTAAAATCCCACCAAACAAACAGCATTACCTTGTCCCGAGATAGCCCGGGTCGCCAGAGTCTGTGAAACCTGACCAGCCTTTGATCATGACCTTTTTCGCACGTTCTTGTCGTACGTGATCAACTTTTCATCACCAGTTATCAGGTTTTTCAAAAATGGTTCGGTTTCATTACTTTGTAATAAAGAATCACAAATGAGTACACGGTTCATGAGGTTTCCTTCAGTGAGCTCATGAGGCACCCAAATATCGAGGATTTTTCAAATGCGCCAAAACTGTTTTGTGATCCCAGTTCTTTAGCTACATCGTAACTACTGATATGCCGATCTCGCTCCACTTTTTCAAAAATGGCATCCATTTTATCCGTAACAGGACGCCAAAGTTTTTTTGACATCAAAATTTCCGGATTCAAAACGCTTAAACCAAATTTGTGCTAGTCTTACAGACATTACACTAGGTTCTTAAACATCAAATTTCTTTTTCGCGGCTTGCGTTGCATTTTTACCTTTTTTGTAGTAAAGCTTTAAAATGGATTGAATTTCTTCATTAGAATCACTCATCTTAACAGTAAGAAAAACAAATGAAAATCACACATTTTATTAATTTGAATTTGGAATTATCTTTTTTATAATTTAAACTTTTGAATAATACCAAAACCAGCCAGATACAAATGGTATAGCCAAAGAGATTATATTATCAGTTCATACATACTATTTGCAAAAAGAGTTTTTCCCCAACCTAAAATAATTCTTCTGTACGTGTATATGTCACCGAACTGCTCCAAAACCGCTGGACCGATTTTAATGAAATTTTGTTCATGTCTTCAGGTCGATTCGAGAAAGGTTTAGATTCACAATTCGGATCAGTACAATTGTTTTTTTTATTTATTTCTTGTTTTCGGATTTAAGCCGTGTTAACAGGACGTCAGTTGGGTCCGCTAGTTCTAGTAAACTTATATAATTCTGTGCTTGTCACACACTCCTCCTAAACGGCTGGATCGATTTTGATGAGATTCACAATTCGATCCATTACAAAATGGTTTTTTAATTATTTCTTTATTTATAAGTTGTTGTCGGATTTAGGACGTGTGTACAGGATAATGTCTATCCCGTCCGCTAGTTATATTATACCTACTATCAGGAGTACAAATATTAAGGAATTTTGCACACATACCGATGACAGTGGCATATTTATGTAATTACGATTAAGTATTCACAACAGGGTCGGCAGGTCATGATAAAAAAGAGACCTCTAGTACTAACTTCAATAGATTATACATGTAAGTAAACAATCTCTGTAATTGTAAATATTATCTGTTGAAAGGATAAATATTAATTTAACGAGGTTTTGGCATTTTTTATCGCAATGAAATTATTAAATTCAAGTAGAACATTGGCAGCGTTACATAAAAAGTACAATAATAGGAAGAAAAGTAGGGTTCTAAATCCTATATATTTTTTTAAAAAAATCCCTTTGTCTACAAAATTTACTATGATGTATTGCATGTAGTATCACTATGTATGTTATACAGATATATCATTTTTTTTCTCTATTCCGAATTGCCAATGAACCTTATGTGGGTTTGATTTTTTTCTGAATCCGAAATACCTTATCATTAAAGAAATTACTTACTTTTTAGATATCCTCGAAAAGATGAACACCATTTTTGTGGAGGCGCGTTTGATCCGTTTTAATTCCTGAGGAATAAATAAAAAAAATATTAAAATAGCCTCATAACAAACCTATTTTGACAACCCTACGACGACGTTATGTTACATAAGAGAAACGGTGATCAAATAAAAACGGAAAACCTACCGTTATTTCAAGCACAACACGTATGACCCAGTGTTTACTTTACAATTTTTAGGGTTCCGTACCCAAAGGGTAAAACAGGACCCTATTAGTAAGAGTACGCTGCTGTCTGTCGGTCACCAGGCCTCATGAACCGCGATAGTAAGATTGTTGAAGTTTACACAGATGATGTATTTCATTTCTCGCTATAACAATAAATACTAAAAACAGAATAAAAAATGTTTAAGTTGGGCTCACATGATTTTTTGCCGTTTTGTCGTCAATGCGAGTCGGACTCCCGTGCGGTAGTCCGACTCGCATTTGGACTAAATGCTTAATTTTTTATTACTTTTAAAATAGCTACCTACATTATGTAATACACAATTCGGCTTTAAAATCTGTGAGTGAACAATATATCACCCCTATTTTCCCACTCTTAGGGTAGGACTTTTTCCAAATTTATATGGGACGAACTTCGAGGTATACCATACCCAATAAAAAAAGAATTATCAAAATCGGACTACTCTGTAAAAAGTTATGCGTGGTAGTAGATAAAAATTATACCGTCGACTTGAAAACATTGTCCGTTTTTGTGCACGGTGCCAAGAACGCTAGCTGCATTTCCTCGCTGCATAGTTATGCTTAACCTTTGAACGAGAAAAGAACCAGCTCTATTGTTACCAGCCGCGGCGTTAAGTACAAGGGCGTAAACCTTCTAAAGTTTCGATGTACGGGAACTCCACGGACTCAAAGTTTCAATAGCAAATGGCACAAGTCAAGCCCAAATTTTTCTTTATTGACAAGATCCTATATCTTCAGTAACTGTTTTGACATGTTGGCAAAGGCGAGAAAAGTACGACTAGCATATACTCGAAACCTAAGACCTGCTTTGGGTCTGAACCAACCAATAAGTTTAAATACCAAAAGGGAACATCATGCAAATAGTGTCATATATAAAAGTGAAAGGAAATATAGTGGATTATGCAAACATTCAGTCAGACAGCTTCAATCCAAATGTCGGTATCTGTGTATTATTAACTACAGAGTGAAGCCAATGCAAATCTCGGGTATAATTGAACCCCTATTGGTAGAAGGTAATAAAAGCCACTTAGTAACAAAGAGCCACGCTACGAATTGGAAGGCAAGGATATTTCACTTTCTTCATTTAGTTTAACGCACCCAAAAAACCTTTTAGAAGAACGAAGCAAATTCGTGATTTCTTTCCTTTTCCAACTGATACGTAAATGTCTAAAGCAAAAACTTGTATTTTGTTTGCGGCTTTGTCTGGCTACATATTTCCTACGCCTACGCCTCGTCCCTTATTTACCAGTGACAAACTTATTGAACAAAATCTCTTCCTTTATATCTATTTAGCGACACCACCTAATCCAATAGAAACAGGCAGTGAGTTTGTCGCCTGTAATAATATAAATGTAAACCAAATATAAAAGTTCGTTTTGTTAAAAAAACCTTTCCCGGGAAAAAGTTCTCACAGCTAGTGTTGCATGCAAAGGGAACTTTTTCTTTTTTTTTTTTAATTATAACGTCCTAACTTAAAATTGCACGTCTTTGCATTGCATTGCCCTGCCAAAATGAAAAATCATGTTTTATTGGAAAATTATCCCGTATCCGAAATAATTTCGCGCTATAATTTGTACGAATTTTTATAAAACATAATAGTGGCGATAAAACTGGACGTATCTTATCGTAAGCTTCATAGTTGAAGTTCGTTCGTGCACCACTGTTTTTACTTTTAGCTAGCTCCGCTTACTATCGGAGATATCAGTCGTATAGAAAGGTGGCTTACTTGCCTTTAGCAATAAGCGATGCGCGACCCATTTGACCGTGCTGAGAATACGGACCTCCTGTAATAAGCTTTAGGTCATCCTTTTTATGGACCTGAACTCGAACTATGAGACTATTTTATCTCTTAAAGTAAAAAAACAACTATAAGGGATACAATTTACAAGGGATGAATTAGGGAAACCTCCTTGGTGGTATTTTTTTTTTCGAATAATTTATTAATTAAAACTCAAACCATAAAGCTTCATTTAACTTTCGCATAACTTTAGCTTAATGCTTTTATTAAATATAGTATTCAATTATATTTAAAACAAAGTATTTTTTGATTGCTTTCTATTTACGTGGCGTTTAACACATTATTTTCGAACCAAAGTTATTGCCGTAGAACGTGAAAAAAAAGTCTGTATGTACCTGTAATGTATAATTATATATATATATCCGTGTCGTATATATATAAATACGACACTGATAAAGTGATAACATTGGTGTGGTGCGATGTTAATGGTTTAAATATTTTTCTTTAAGACATAAAAAAGAGCCTCTTCTGTACGCGGTATAACAGTATTTGCGTAACTCATTTATACGTACAATTATAAATTGATTATATTATACGGCTTACGAAATCGTGAACTTAATTGCAGCAAACAGATCTTGGGGGAAGCCCGGGTCGAGCCCTCGTTTGGACGAGAGCGCTATCTCTTTCTTATGTGAGGGTCTCTTTTGCGCGCAGTTGCCACTCCAACGTTTGCATCATCCTTGAGCGTTTCAATGTTTACGAACGCTATAACTGATTTTCAGACCGATATCAGAAAAGTTAAAATTTTTAGTGCACGAGTACAATATTCACAATTCGCTATAGGTATATCGTTTCGTCATTACTCAAACATTCCTGTGTCCTATGCGTAAATTGCAATACAAATTTACAATGCTAAATTAAATTGGCGCAATAAGGATGATCCACGAGCTTTGGCTTTGATTGTCATAGTTTTGAATTCCAACAGTAATGCTTTTTGATGACCCGAATGGGGTAGTGGGTAGTGTACCTGCCTCCGGCGCCAAAGGGTGTGGGTTCAACCCCCGCTACTGGAAAATTATTGTGTGATGAACATAGTGTTTTTCTAGTGTCTGGGTGTTTGTATATGTATAATATGTATTCATTTACAAAAGAAAAGTATGTTTATCAGTTTTTAGTACCCATAGTACAAGCTTTGCTTAGTTTGGGACTAGAGAATGTTGTGTAAAAATGTGTCCTAAAATATTTATTTATTATTATTTTAGCTATTTCATAGTAAGTGACATGTTATTGACTGTGGTCATTATATTATGTAATTTATATATTTTATGTTCCAAAGACGGACGGGACCCTGAGTGGATCCGGAATACATTCACCCCTTTTCTCGACTGTTGATAAGGGCTTTGCAGAGTTAGTGATGAACTTTATGTGATGTCAAGATACAGTTTTTCTTTCTTTCTTAGTTTTTAATCGGTTCTTCGAGAACAGCTACTTCAGCTTAGTAATTATTTGAGATATTTCACTTGAAGATATGACGAAGTAATCCTAAAGCCATAACACGTAAAATAGTTCTGGCTGACTCGAATGAATGGGATGTTTTCTATTGTTGGTGGGATTAAGTCTAGGGTGGTCCGATGAAAATATATGTTGTTTCATTTTTCTCGCAGTCAAAGTCTTTTCAAAGATGATAACAGGGGTAGTGGCCTAGCACTTTTAGCTACTTGGATGTTAGCCATTTTGGTGATTGTACGCACGTTCGTGCTCGAACGGTATCCCTCTTTTGAAGGGGTTTACCGCGCTTATCATCTGTCTCATTATTGGCCTCGTTGGCAGCTGCAGTGCGATTTTAGGGCTCCGTACCCAAAGGGTAATATGGGACTATTACAAAGACTCCGTTGTCTTCTGTCTGTCTGTCCGTCTGCCACCAAAATGTACGTCATGAACCATGATAGTTAGGCAAGTGAAATTTTCGCAGATGATGTATTTCTGTTGCCGCTAAAACTACAAATACTAAAAAACAGATTAAAAAAATACGCACATAGGGGCTTTGGCATGATTTTCTTGCCGTTTTTATACATAGTGTAAGGACATAGAGTTTTTAACCTTAGTGCGCGAGTCCAACTCGCACTTGGCCGATTTTTTGCCATTCTTGCGTTTACTGACTTCAACAGTGAAATCGTTTGGGAACGGGGTTAACATAACCTCCATGTCCGTGCCGGTATCGGATTCAAATTCGGGGACAAGAAAACGTTCCCTATCTTCTGGGCACGGGACGTGAAGGTCTCCTCTAAGAGCCGTGCCGGCAATTTAAAACCTAAGCATGTTATGGTATTATGGTATGGTATAGATATTAAGAGTATGTAACATGTCTTCTGATTAGTCTTAAAATTTCACTTGGCATTTACGAGTATGTATTCCCGCCTTCTGTGTTAAATGAATAATCTGTAGATGCATCAAATCATTTTCATTCAATTATACAATAATAAAGTTTCGTTTATCGCGTAAATATGATTAACATTGCATAACATTTATTATTAAATCTAAATAGATCACGGTCACATTCGGTTCTCAAAAGTTCAAAAGTACGAGCGCACAAGATAGCGCGTTCACTATCAAGTCTATCAACGATAATAAATACATTTATATAGCAATTACAAAAGTAACAGCACCGTACTTCATATAAGTGGCAACAATTTCTGCTTCCAAACGGAGAGTATCAACTGATCTTTCCATATCAAATGCTCCGTCCACATAGGACAGAGCAAAAGATACCCACAGCACTGGTTTGGAATGTAGGCAACGTCAATGTTGAAACCTCGGAAAATTATTTGTGAAATGTTGGTTATTGTTGTTATTAATTTTTAGATCAACTTTAATTTTTAAATGTATTTGTTCCATTTTTCTTGCCTTGTCTCCATTTATCTTTGCCATGCGTCCAAAGGTTTTAATTTTTTTTTTCCTATTAAAGACAGCTGAAGTAACCCGTGTACATAATATACTGCGCTGATACTCCGGTCTGTTAACATTAATTTCTTGAACCAATTAATTTAACGACTCGGTAAAAAGCGGTTCAGACAGCTTATCTGAGAGAATTGTAGAGTTGACGTTTGCCTTGTATCTCGTAATTTCGTAAAGAGATGCATGTAATCATTATTGGCTCATTTTGTTGGGACAGAATTTTTAATAAAGCGGACGTTATCAAGTTGTGATTTTTAATGAATATTCTGCGCCTAACTTATATAAGTAATTTTCAAAAGTTTTATAGTAAAATCCAAATTTATAGTGGACTGTGATTGATTTTAGTGAATATACCAGTGTACCAGAAGTATGGAAATGTATCATTTGTAATGAATTTTAATTGAATATCAAAAAATGAATGAGAGCAGACAGTTTGTTCGCCTTTGTACTTGTATTCTAATAAAGTCACTTATAATTAGTAATTTCTTATATTTAAGCTGAATTAAATGAAACAATTGTAACGGATTTATCGTGTTTATTTTCGTTTATAATTTATGACCGTAAATCCTGAAAAGTATCCAAAAACTTCGGTAATTTTAGTTGACAATGAAGGCGATAAATCCTTGAAAATATTTCCATAAGATGGATCGATTTAGATTGAGTTAAACCATAAAGGTTATAACTGAAAAGGTTCTATATATTATACTTATACGGTTTATGGTTCGAGAATACTGTGCGCAGTAGCAATTGCCTGTTTGCGCAATAGAAAGATTGGAGACGAACTCTGGGGCTGGATGACAAACTGTGTCTATTGTTCATCATATATATGTGCAATTTAAATTGCATCGCTGATTCATATGGCGAAGACCTCAATCCAAGTGCACTTGTCCGCGGAGTGGACTCTCGTCCACAAAACACTCCAGAATGCTCACGACATTCGCCCTTATTTACATGCGATTAAAATTGACGCCATTTAAATAACCATTTTGAACGAAACGGGGAATAACGACATCGCTAATTGCCCGATAACGCTAACTAGATTGATAATTACTTGGCGACGAATTGAAAAAAAAATTAAAACGTATAAAATTTACGTTTAAACAATCATTGAATTCTAGTAGAAAAACGTTACGGTGCGTCCTTATTTATAATGCGTGCGGTAGATAGATAGTGTACTTCATAATATTATATTAATGAGTGCTAAATGGAACGTGAAATCATTAATGATATTGATACAACTGTTTCCACGCGTTGTTCTGTTAATGATACTAGGAAAAAAGCTAAGAAAGTGGGTTAATGAAATTATAACGTCAACGCTCCGTTAATTCCATGTCCCGTGACGTTTTAAAACATGCGACGAAGTAACGAAAAGCATACCATTTGCATCAACAGTCATAGACATGTTTTCATTCAATGGAACATTTTAAATATGGTGAATTCGTACAATGTCACTTACCGTTATTTTTTTAAATTTAATTGTATACATTAGAGCGTCACTGGCACGATACACTTCCGCATTGTTCCATTCGTGAACGTCGTTATCATTAAATAAAAAAAAATCTCACCTTGTGTTTGTGTTCTAGCTGTCAATCGGCCAGTCAACCCAGTTTGAAGGACACGACTAGTTAAATCGCCTTGCTTTACGCGCGTCAAGTACTTTCTTTCCCCACTAAACCAGCCGCACAATTCGTGCCGACGTGCTGTTTATATTGGTGCCGCTTACACACTGAACGTTATTTACCACACGATGCTCGAATCGATGCCGTCTTGTCTCGATCGAAATCTCTCAGGAGATGCGAAGGTGAAGATTGTTTTGGCTGATCCATCGATCTAATTATGCCAGCAATGTGCAATGTGACCAGTTATTAATAGAGAAGCCCGTGTCACAACATCGGCGTTCGCAACACTTCCCAAGCAATCGACCGGCGCGGCACTTGCATGGTTTCGGTGATCTTATTATCGATCGGAAAGATGTTCCCTTCGTGTTTATTACCAGAGTTGAAGAGAAACAATTCTATTCACTAGCACATATTTATAACTGACGCGAAGAGATTTGACTAATAAAAGGACAAATCTATCGAGAAATTATGTATGCTTTCGCGTTACGCCTGTAGAATGCGGTAATAACGGACACCGTCTTAGAGTTTTGCAAAGACGCTTCGACCGCACACGCGTTTTTTCACGGTACAACTAAAATTAACCGTGAACTGCCTGCTTGTTGGCGCCATTATTTTAGAAGACCGTTTAACTAAAGGCCCATTTACACGATGCCATTTTCTTGTACATATAAGAGCAATAATTGAATGCAATAAATTGCGCGCAATAATTGTTTAGACCAATTGTTGTTTAGACCATGCAATTCATTTATTACTTCAATTTAATTGTATACAACAGGCAAGAAACTGGCACCATGTAAATGGGCCTTTACACTCGGCTTATCATAATTCCAGAAATTGTCCATTTAGCTTCCTCAGACGTGATATGCCGTCAACGCTTGAAGAAGCAGATTAAGGCCCATTTACATGGTGCCAGTTTCTTGCCTGTTGTATACAATTAAATTGAAGCAATAAATGAGTTGCATGGTCTAAACAACAAGTGGTCTAAACAATTATTGCGCGCAATTTATTGCATTCAATTATTGCTCTTGTATGTACAAGAAAATGGCATCGTGTAAATGGGCCTTTATTTTAGGCTAGTTGGATTTTTTTATGTGAAAAGTTGCCAAACGAGCAGGCGGTTCACCTGATGTTAAGTGAATACCGCCACCAATGGACATCAGCTATACCCGAGGGTTGCAGATGCGTTGACAACCTTTTGAATACTGGGCTCCGGCTACCTCAATCACCAGAAGAAACGCGAAAGTAATTATATTTCCACTTGACGCCGGTCTTCTGTGAGGTCATGGTATCTACTCGGACGAGCCTGCCCATTCGTGCAACAGGCGAGGCTGCTGCGTGGCTCAACCACAGTTAAAAAAGGATTTCAGATGTGTTCACATTAGGGCACCTATAAGTTGGTCTGACACAGTGAGGCATATATAACTAAAGGCCCATTTACACGGTGCCAGTTTCTTGCCTGTTGTATACAATTAAATTGAAGCAATAAATAAGTTGCATGGTCTAAACAACAAATGGTCTAACCAATTATTGCGCGCAATTTATTGCATTCAATTATTGCTCTTGCATGTACAAGAAAATGGCATCGTGTAAATGGGCCTTTATGATCGTACCCAGTTGAGACCCGCAAAATGTGGTCGTGTTCCTCAGCAGTAGGGGACCGAGGAAGAAGGAGCTTTATTTAATTTTTGCCCAAGATTTTTGACTCGACCTTTCACCTTTCAATAGAGGAAGTTGGTTCGCTCGTCCGATCGTCAGTCAGGTTATGTCGTATCAGGTATTATATCATGTCCTTACCCGATCATGGCCCTAACAGGATCATGATCAAAAATCGAATGAAGCTTATTCTTCCTCGGTATTCATTACATTGTCTTCATGCATCATTCTTAATTCTTAACGTCCGTCGGGTCTTTTATTGACTTGTTTAATTCTTTAGAATTAAACATTTTCAAAGGCCGATAATAACAATAGGAGAATAGGATATTAATTTCTGCAATATGTGTTTTATCTATCATCTTAATTTCCATTCATATGACTTATAAATATAAACAATGGCTTTCGCATGCCGCATTCGGTAAACATGTGAGCTATTTTAATTATATTGTAAGTGGACACCACTATAATTAATTATGTACTATGTTTATGCGAATAAATTCTTATTATTATTATTGTCAAAGAGATTGTGACTCTTTCCTCACACACTGGACGATACAGAACACGTGTTCAGGGGCGGCTCTCGTCGCTTTTAACCACTGATTATAATAATAGATAACACATTCAAATGTTGACGGATTCACGGTTCACATATCAAAGTCAAAGTCAAAATTTCTTTATTCAATAAAGAGTCTTTAAAGCTTATATTGAACGTTAAAACTACTTTCACTAAACTAGACCTGTCCAGAGAACCGGCAAAAAACTCTGCGGTCTTATCTTTTTTTTTAAATTATGTAAGTATACAAAAGTATAAAATTAGCAGGAGCCAGGGGACTTGCAAGTACAGAGCAAGAGTCATTTCCACACGTCATTGTCCTCAATGTATTCTTCAACATTATAATAGGCTCTTTCCATTAAGGTAGCTTTTACAAAATGTTTGAAATTATTTACACTGATTTAATTGTTTGTGGATGTCACAAATTCTATTATATAAGTCAAACATCTGCCAAACAACAATTATCTGGTTGTGATTATGGAACTTCGGGGACCTTAGCCGACATTCCCATCATATCACCAGCGCACGGCAGTTTCTTTATTCAATAAAGAGTCTTTAAAGCTTATATTGAACGTTAAAACTACTTTCACTAAACTAGACCTGTCCAGAGAACCGGCAAAAGTTCACATGTGTGACTCTATCCTAACTCGCGGAAACTAGCTTTTTCACCGGTGCGGTATTAGATGAAACTTTATGCAATCTCAGGACTGTTTACATGACCCAGGAGTGGATTGAGACTTTGTCGCGCCATGTTGTGCTGAACTGTGTGTGTCAGTATTTTGTAACAGTATTAAAACATGTATTAAGGCACAGTGGCGGATTTGCCCTAAGGCTCAATAGACCCAGGCCTAGGGCGGCCACGTATTGGGAGCGGCCAATCGTGACATTCACTGATGATAACAAAATATATGATAGGCTCTGAGAAAGGGGCGGCTGGAACTTACTACATGGGGTAGGGCCTAGGGCGGCCAAGACTAAAAATCTGCCACTACTAAGGCTTATGATTTTCTGGTCATGAAATATTAATATTTGTTTTTTAACACGGCCAACAGAGTTTTTACTGCAATGGAAAAAAGCAATTGCTTATCGCTGACTTGTCTTACTCGACAAGTAAATTTGTTTTGGTTGCGACAGACAAACACAGCTATATCTGCATTGACGTCAAAGATTAAATAATAGCAAATGAAAGCAATGCAATAACATTATTCGATTTGTATGTAAACACGTACATTGTTGTTATTCTACAAAATAATCTAAGAGACATCCTTACTAATATTATAAATGCTAAACGTTTGTATGTATGGATGGATGTTTGTTACTCTTTCACGCAAATACTGCTAAATGGATTTTAATGAAACTTTACAATTATATAGCTTATATATCAAAATAAGACATAGGCTATAATTTATATACATATATTATGTATATCTATCTTTCTGTCTGAATGTTACGCTTTAAGTCTTTTCTACGCAGACAGTAGCTAGTCCTTACTAATATTATAAACGAGAAAGTTTGTATGTATGGACGTTTGTTACTCTTTCACGCACAAACTACTGAATAGATTATAATAAAACACAGTAATATAGCTCATACATTAGAACAAGACATAGGCTATAATTTATAAAGATATTGTGTGAATTGTCCAAAATATAGGTGATGAAGTATAAATTAAGTAGGAAAAAATTCAGCCATCTGCGACATATTCTGGTGTAAAATAAAAAAGTTATTGTTAATTCCCTTTGGCCTTGCGGGCGGAGCCGCGGCTAACAGCTAGTTGTAAACTAAAACTTTTTTAGAAAATTCATCTCAGTTAATTTTAATTTTAATACCCGAAGTTTGGAACATTACTGATTTCTCGGGGCAGATTGGATTGTTTTATCTTACCTTTTCATTTCTTTATTGCATGATGCTTTCATTATTTTGGAATCACTTAGAGCTTCATTATTCTCGGGGCATATATTAAACCGTGAAGGTTTAGCAGTGGACTCAAACAGGCCGAAATGATGATGATGACGATGGTTACAATCAGAGTAAATACTAATTTTTAATGACTGAAAATTGTATGATTTAAATATGTTTACGAATATTTAACTCTGGTTGGGCCACGCAACGGTCTTCGCTGTTGCACGAACGGGCTACGGACGCCCGTAGAAGTATCACGACCTCTCAGAAGACTGGCGTGAAGTAGATGTGTTGTACTTTTGCGTTTCGTCTGGTGAACGAGGTAGCCGGGGCTCACTTTATTAAAAGGTGACAACGCATCTGCAACCCTACGGTGTTGCGAATATCCATTGGCGACGGTTATCACTTAACATCAGGTGAACCGCAAGCTCGCTTGCAACCTTGTCACTTAATAAAGTACCTATGATTTTTACTGATACCCTCTCTGACATGTATAGGCTGATACTTTACTTAAGAATGGCTAGTCTGAAATCAAAACATTGAACGTGAATGTGTATAATTTATTAATATGTAAATAGACCTGTTCTATATATATGTGATCTTTGGGAAATTATTAGAACTACTTCAAAAATTTTAAACGTGTTCTTTTTAAATGTTGAGGAATTCATCTAGTAGTCATTGTAGAAGTAAGAGAAATATTTTGAGTTTGTAAGCAGACCTTTGCTATTGAGTGAATAGAGATATATTACACGCTGGATTATATAGTTTATACAAGCGTATGAATTGGTAAAAATAAACGGGTGTTATTGGACCAACTAAACTATAAACAGTTGCAAACTTAAATTTTAATATTTATTTCAGCTTGTTTTAATTACGGTTCGTCATTATTAGCATTGGTTTATCATTTGTTATGTACAGACCATTTATCAAGTCTAGTTCTTAGAATTACTTTTTAAAATAGATAAACACGTAAGAGATTGCACGAAACATTTAGTGTATTCATAAATAACCGAACACAATGGCGACTATGGGCAAAGGATGTGGTGCCATCTGTCGGCTCTCACAGCCATTGTGCTCGGCCAATACCTGCATACTATCAAAGGGCTAACCGATCAAAGGAATTTATTTATGTCTCAAAACGTTTCTGTAACAAAACTACGGCTACCAGACATTTTCTTTAGGTAGGATATATCTCAAATAATTATGTATGATGGTAGTAAAGTCACACAATATACGAAAACACGATGATCTTCAAGAGGAAGGACTTAAAGTATAATTGTTTACACTTTTGCATTTCGCCAAGTGAGTGAGGTAGCTTGAGCCTACTTAGTTAAGGGTTAGTAATTCGGGACTAATGCCTGTTTTCAAGCAAGTGTCACCTAAAGTCTTAAGCGTGACACTTAAGCGGTGGTGAAAATTAATTTTATCACTATTTTTTTTAATTTCCCTTAAAGTTAGGGATCGAAATGTTTATTTTAAATAGTTCCACAGCTCTTATTTAAATAGTGAACAATAACTGGTCATTAATGATTCGTTTATTATTAAATTTATCAATAGAAATATAAGGACCGGATTGTCTCTTCAAACGGAGATACATGCATACCTTATATGCCTCCGTTTCTTGTGGCATTTCGAGCACACATTGAGTTTTCTTTCCCAAGATGATCTCTTTCTCTAAACTTTTTTCACATTAACAATAGATGTCTTAAATGCTGTGTTACGAATTTAAACATTAAACATGCAAATGTAAGAACCTTTTTTTTCAAAGAATTTAGTTTGAATTTCTATCGACGGCGATAAACATCAATAACAGATCAATTAAAAAAATGTTTCTTATAGTATTTATATGTAACTTTAAGTTAAATCGTAGAGCCGTAATAGATCACTGTCCGGGCGCTCGCCTTTAATTAAATATACAATAAATTCGAGCAACCCGAGTTCGAACCCCGGTGCCGGCACCAATGAAGTTGTTTGTCTTAAGTGCGACTTATCACGTGCTCATCGGTGAAGGAAAACATAGTGAGGAAACCTGCATATTTTCGAAATAATATAAAAAAATATTTCAAAGATATGTGACGTCTGCAAATCCGCAATGGGGTCGCGTGGACCTTGCTCCAATACTCTTGTACAGAGGAGGCCTTCGACTGGCAGTGAGACATCCCCCCGTGAAGGAAAGGCGGTGTCCTGACGAGCAGTTCTCCATGTCCTCTGATGCTGAAACTTGGTGTGCAGATAGACCAAATCCTTCTCTGGAAGACGGCAGGCTTGTTGCTTATTGGCGACAACCCTTATTGCACCCACGTCCTTCCTTAGGGCCGTCATACAAGTGTTCGGAAGGCGCATTTTATCCGGAGAAGACGAATGTGTTCTTAAAATCATCTTCGTCAGGGTACTGTTTAGGGACCTTTGTCATGCGCATTTCCATAGCCCCGCCGCGCCGTGTAACTGTACAGGTGGAAAATCTTTTGTGCAAGTCTTTGATGAATCGGTTGGTACTCTAATTTAGCGATATAGGCTTCGACGCGTTGGGGCATGTGTTTGTTACCGGAAAAAAATATTTGTACGAGCTACCGTGGTCGTTCTTGTACAGTTTGTTCAGAAAGTCTCTTTGGCACACAATATAACAACCAATACAGTACCGTTATAATTAATTAATATAAATATTAATTTAATTGATATTGGACTTTGGAATTCATATATGTCTATATATATCGGGGAACTTCTCAGAATCAAATAGAGAATATACCTATGTATAGTGCATGACTCTTTATATTTTGTTATTAAAAATGTACATACTTGTAGATAGTACAAGCAAAACGGAATATTAAAAAAATATAGTTGGAAATGGACTTAAAATGTTCTCAAATGCTATTAGTATTTTTAATATTTATAGTAGATAACAGGTATGTCCATAAATCCACGCCTACTTCCCGCCAATTTCCTTTAAACTGCGCAGGACAGATACAAAATGCTAACATATAAAAAGGATCACGCGCGATTCTATTGCAAATACAAATTTGAAACGACAAAGAAATGTTCATGTGATTGTGTTGTGCGTGCGGTGTGCGATTTTACAAAGTGATCAAATTAAACTAAAAAAGATACGCGGGTTGTGTGCTATATCATATATAGTGGCAGTTATGACCATGTTTCCTTGCAGGTGAGTTTAATTTTTAGTCCGTCAAAATCTTGACGGACTAAAAATTAAACTCGCAGTTAGTTATACCTTCTATTTGTTTTAATAAATTCAAACGTCGCTTAGAAGAGTTCAGAGTATAGCAGCTTTTAAAATTAACACATAAAATTTTGTGGCTCAAGTGGTTTTTTGAATTATTGTAAATCTTAAAATTTATTCATCACAGTTGCGGCGTTTTAGGTCCCAAATTTGTATTGAAACGACATTTTCAATTTCATCATCAATCATTTAACAATGGCAGAATAAAATTATTTACAGTACATAATTATAATAATAAATATTAAATAATTCTATGGCTGGCTGCGTTTTGTGCATTCGATCGGCTAAGCCATGCTAATAATAAATATTCGGTTCGGTTAGGAGACAAATTGGTCATAGCTATTGGCCATAACCATTTTTTTAATGAAAAGAAGGCAAACGAGCTGGCGGGCCAGCTGTTGGTATTGAAGTGTTCACGCCTGGACTAGCAACACCAGAGTATCACAAATGCTTTGCCGGCCTTTGAGAATTTCTGTCTTCTCCCTTCCCCCAAATGCGTGACCCAATAATTAATTACGAGGATGGATTTTAAAATCACACAATTTGGCACCACCCTCTGGCAACGAAATACCGACGCGTATAAACGGATGTTCGTTTGCTGAATGGTTCCATGGTCGCTTGCTCAGGGGTCTGCGCGTGGTGGGCGTGTGCGTGCTCGTTGTAGCCCTGGTCTCCGCCCAGCTGACCTTCAGCCGCGACTGGAGCGCCGGCAAGCGGGCGTCCCCGGTCGCCTTCGACTGCAGCCAGTTCGCGCAGATCTGCCGCCAGTTCATTGTGAGCACACGCCAGGCTGCCAAGCGAAGTATGCTGCGGGCGAGTATGCTCGGACGTATTGGACGACCCGACGTCGGACCACGTCTAAGACGGACCGAGTATGCTCGGACCTATTGGATAACGGACCACGTAAAAGACGAGCCATTCGAGGTTCTCGATATTCGCTGGGTAGATTTAAGTAACATCAAAGACGCTTCACACTTGTAAAAAGAGCCGTGATACACCACGGTTTCTACATGCTCGACGAGGGCACGGCATTCGAAGAATATTTCATTCGTTTAAATTCGGGATTATTTGGATGTTTTCTTTTAATTCCGGTGAGCGAAGTTACCGGAGCCACAGGCTATTAAAGGTTGGCATCGCAGTAATAATCCTAGCCTCCATGACCAAATAATCGTAGTGGTTATATTCTATTTGCCATGAGCTTGCTTGCTCGTGTTCAGTCCTCCCTCAATAACGCTTCTTAGTTCGCGATTATGTCCATTTATTAGTAATAAGTACGTGCTTGAACGACTGAGCTTAGTTTTGGGCCAAATGGATTAATTTATGTTGACCAGAATGGTAGGAAACTAATTAAACGATGGTGGTGGTTATCTAATGGCTGGAAAATTGCCAGCCCGATTTTGTTATGTCAAATCTATTTTCTCAGTATAAAAGTCTATCCGTTAAGTTTAATGAGAAGTAAATTGGGCATCATCAAATGGGGCGTTATTACCAAACAGCAAGCAGCTCGGTAAACTCCCTTTTAAAAACCTTTTTTTGTTGTGCTCGTTCTTTTTGGTAAATACATTTATTTTCTTTCTTCCTTATAAATCAAGATTTTTTTTATGTTAGAATGTGGCAAGTTAGCAGGCGGTTCACCTGATGTAAAGTGATAACCGCCGCCCACTGGTATTTGCCGCACCCGTAGGGCTGCAAATGCGTGCCATCTTATCCATTCGTGCAACAGCCAAGGTTGTTACGTGGCCCTACCACAGTATATAGAACCTGAACATTTATCCGATACTTAAAAAATTTCGGTTCTTTTTATAGCATTTACCAGTCCCGCGTGCACGTATTTCATACAATATCTGACAAGTTTTTATGTTATGATTTCGCAGCACGACCTGAGGCAATCCCTGACCAAAGAGAAGTTCGGCAAACATCACAAGGCGGTCAGACAGGAGCTCGCAGTGGATTATGACGATGACAAATGAACTCTGTTCCGAAAATGGTTATTCTGCTTTCAAATACTTAATCATGCCGCAAAGCATTGTTTAGTTCTCTTTCCCAGATACACTGTAATTTAATACTTACTTTGTAATATTTCTGGTACATTGTAATTTAAATTTTATGTTTACTTTGTAATATGTCGTTTATTCAATGATGTTTTCAATTGAAATTGGGTTTATGGATATCGCGATAATCTTATGAAGGGGTAATAAGCTTAATAGTGAAGTCATGCCGTAAAGCATCGTAGTACTGTTCTAGCTATGTACTCTGAATAAAAATTACTCCAAAGTAAATAGCGTTGCTGTTTTTTTGGTATTTCTTTAGTGTTAAGGTATTTAGGCAGATTGGTGATGATAAATGACTACCTCACGCATGGTCAAATCCTACATCTGCAACACCACATAGGCAGATGTTTCAACATTCTTTAAGTATGGGCGCCTCTTATCACTTACCAGGCGGGACGAAAGGGTATAATACTTTTACTTCACCTGCCATCTGTAAATCTGCGGTACTTCCCCGGACGATACTCTTTGTAAGGAGGAGGAGGTAACCAATCAAACAGGTCACCCAATGGTAAGCGCCGCCACACGTGGACACAGAAAGAGTAAGAAACATGTTGCCGGCATTTGCAAAGAAGTGTCAATGGCGAACACCTATTCCACGGAGGCACTGCGGCACCGCTTAACATCAAGGTGGTGTCGATGGTATTTGGTGGCATGACGCGATTAATTCGAACTCTCAGTACTCCCCGTGATAAATACGATAGAAAATGCAAAGAGACGAAATATCTCCCCGCAACGCCAGATCGTCAATGATTCGAGCGGCTCTACATTGAATACTGTCAAATGGAAGGAGTTTACAACAAGAAAGCTTCTGCGTAGACTGCGGATTGATTGATCCGATTCATTTCAATTATCGTCAGCGATATCAATGAGGGTTTTATGAATAGGTCAAATACTATAACATTTGTTTCAATATTCTAGAAGGTACATTCATTTGTGTTCCTGACTCTGTAGCTATACGAATTGTTGAATCTTGTCGGCTTCTTGGAAATTTGTTCAGACTTCTGCAACTAATCTTATGCAACGGCGAAAGATAATTGTAAATTGCTATGTCCTAATGAAGTTTCAAATGTATAAATACTAGAAATTTGAAACTTGATTAATTATGCGAGATGTTGCGTAAATTTAAAAAATATCACACTTATTTACTTATTCTGAATAATATAAGGGTTCTGTTCGTACAATAGGACCAGTACTACTGAAATGCAAATTTCTAACCCTTATAGGTTTAAGGACAAAAGTAGATAATTAAACTTTTCTTGTAATACTTACAAATTTTTATTGTATGCATTTGATTCTATATACAAGACTTACAATACGAGACTAATTATTGCAATGATATAAAAATATCAATGTATTACTAAGATTAATATACATTAACGAAATTAAGGCTATCAAAAGGTACTTGATTGCATAATTATAATTAAGAAAAATTACATAATATGATTAATTAAAATACAAACAAACTCGTAACACTGACACAAGTTATTAATTATATCAGTAGACTTCATAGAAACCTAATTAAATTAAACCTGTATTCAAATACATAGACAAAATGAAGAATAATTCAATTAATGTAATGTTATTAAATTATGTTAAAAGCTACAAATCCAATCAGTTTTTCAATTTAATAAATTTTTATAGTTCTTATTGAATGATAAAACAATTCATATAAATAATAAAATGGTTAATATTAATTGTTTTAAAACGTTTTATGACTAAAATAGCTTATATGGAAAGTGCAGTGTCACATCAGTATAAGTAATTACAAAAAAAATTCGGTGCTGTAATATAGCAGAAATGCTAAAAGAAATGCAGAAAGGGCAAAAGGTTAAGGTTAAATCATTATTTCATAATTTTTTTTCAATATCTCAGCATGCTTTCTCATCATGACATATTTTGACAAGTCAGGAGACAAAATGGGTTTAAAACTAACAAATGTTGGCAACATTTGTTAGTTTTAAATAAACAGTTGTTTGAAGTAATAAATTGATAATTTTGTTCTAAGTTTCCAAAACCGTTATTAAAACATAATTATAACACAGGTTTATGATGATTATGGTTTATGATGTCCTGTCAAAGCAGTACAAAACAGTTCCTATTCTTAATAAAAATGATACATAAATACAATACTGTAGATACATTGAATGAGTACCCAATTTCTTACCAGAACTGAAACAATAAGCTGGACACTGATTATGCCCGACTAACTATATACGGTCAAGGTATTGACACAGAGTCGGTTGATGATTTCTGATAACAATCACGCCGTGCATCTACGACGTGAAAAGCACGAAATGATGAGCCACGCAGAAACATCCATAGTTACGCTCATACTGTCCTCGCCAAAGCGATACGACACTGGAGTCCACGGCGAACGGCGGGTTGATGACGTCACGTGCCCCGCGCCGTGACGTCACTCCACAGCGAGTGGGGCCGATGACGTCACTCGTCGTCTGCACCGCAGCAGCGCACGTACTCCAGGGCTCGGTTGAGGCATTCTAACCACTCGTCCCTATCCCTTGGCGTGTCGGCGGCGAGTAGATGTCTGCGCACCAGTTGGCCGTCTGGCCTCAGCGCGTATATCAACGACCCGCCGTCTGTTGACGCCATACCCGCCGGCACCGACGTCTCGAGCAGCAAGGTGTTGGGCCGAGCGCAGAGATCTCTGGGGGCCCGCACGACCCTCTCGCTGACCACCGTAGTCAGGTCTATGTCGCCGATCGGCATCTGATGGGAGCGCGAGTCAATAAGTTTATTGTAAACTAGCTGCTAACCGCGGCTTCGCTCGCGCGGGCAACGGAAATTAACAATGAATTTTTTCCTACTTAGTTGACACTTATCATTACTAATATTTTGAACAATTCACACAATATCTTTATAAATTATAGCCTAGTTGTTATTCTGATGTTTTATAAAGTTTAACAAAACAGAAACCGACTCCATACAGGAAACTATAAAAACATTGTTAAGTTAAATTAACATTTGAGGATTGCCCTCGATTTCTCTGGGATGCGCCATCATCAGATCTGAGTTTCCTTATCATGGTATCACTCTTGGGATATCTCCTCGCCGACAAAAAAGAATCATCAAAATCGATTCATAAACGACGAAGTTATCCGCGAACACACATAAAAAAAAAGTATATACGGTCGAATTGAGAGAACCTCTTTCTTTTTTGAAGTCGGTTAAAAAAAGATGATACCTACGGAGTTTCTTCTTCGTTATAGGAACTTCGTTACGAAACGGTGGTAGATAAAATAAAACTGACTACTGACTATCGATAGACGAAAATATACACATCGTATCCCGATGAACGAACGATTCGGTTCGAACGGGTATAGATGAATGATGAATGTGCACATCGTATCCCGATGAACGAACGATTCGATTCGAACGGGTATAGATGAATGATGAATGTGCACATCGTATCCCGATGAACGAACGATTCGATATGAACGGGGTAGGTACCTTTCTGGTGGCGTCGTCCGGGTACTTCCAGTACTGGAGGCGCGGCGCGAGCAGCCGGAACCAGCGGCGGTGCCACGCGCCCAGGCCCGACACGTCGTCGAAGGCCGTGAGGAAGGCCGAGTGCGGCGCCGGCGCGGCCACGCGCAGCCGCGCGCGGATCTCCACGTTCAGGGCGCCCTCCAGCGGGCTGCCGCACGGCACCTGGTGTCCGTTCAACATGACAGTTATATAAATAGATATTTCGGGACGTATTTTTATCCAGTTATCTAGCCCCAAACTAAGCGAAGCTTGTATTCTGGATACTAGTTAACTGATTATACCCATACACGGGAAAAAAATATGTTCGTCACACAATAATTTTCCAGTAGTGCAAATCACAGAGGTTGTTTAGTAATGTGTACAAAATTTTCTACGAGACTGATTTATAATACAGTTTAGCGAAACGAGATATGTAAAAAAAAAAGAAAGAGTGACAGAGCATTCATTATTATTCCATTTCATTATACAACTATATATCAAGTATCACATTAAGCTCAGCCACTGGCTACGTTAATATTTTGTCTACAAAGTAATAATTTATAAAAGTATACATTTCATTAGCAAACCTAATGATACAAAAATAATTCAGTTACCTTATTCAAAGTGAAACATTTCCTTGAAGACTGCTGCAATGCGAAGATGCAGTAGCCGTGCAATTGGAACTGCGGACTCCGAACGGAGTGTGGTCCCGCTGGACTCTGGACTCGGGGCGCCTTCAGCTCGGATACCTTCGACTTCGGAGTCAGCAGTTTGGAATTGGACTGGAAGTGGATAATTTGATAATTCCTTTTAATAAAGCGAATGAGCATTGTCAAATGTAACAATTGTATAGATTCAATTCATACCACCACCACATTTTCTAAAAAAATCGAAGGTATTGTACTGTGTGCACTATTCGAAACTTGCAGTGCTGCTAGTATGTATACAGGTATATAGTTGGTCATGAGAAAGAATGAAAATAAACTGAGAAGCAGATAAGTTTACCATTCAAAAATATTTCTATAAAAACTTTGCGAATTAAACAAATACATCCTATTTACTTTTTTTAAAATAAATATACTTTCAGGTTACCTTCTTATTTGTGATGTGGTATTTGACATCATGTGGCAGGATCTCTTTTGATGCTTGCAATAGGTAGATTTCAACGGTGACCTATAGAAATAAATACTAATGCAGTTCATTCTATCCTTCATACAGTAATAAAAACGATACACTTGAAAAGATTAATAGCTAGTTTTGTCTCAACAAAAATAAAAGTAAAATTACAACAAACACTTTGAATTCCCGTGTCGCTACACGATGATGGAATGAATGAATAACAGTTATGTTAACAATTAAAAGAATATATATCTAAGACATGAAACCAAATAGGTATGTACTCGGTACGATTTACCGATTTTCAGTACATACCAAAAATTTAAATTATAAATAACAAACTAGACTAAGATTAACACAAAGCGGGTACATTAATTTAATGACAATAACACATGATGGCTTTAAATTAAGGTAAATTATAGGTCAACGGATTTAAAGCGTTTAGTTGTGCAGTTTTTATCTCATGAAGACCATATTAATAATGAGATTTGTTCACCTTAAAATCGCTGGCGAGTCCGTCCATGCGTATCTCGTCCGGGAAATGCAGCAAACTGCTCGTGGGCTGCGTAAGTTGCATGCTGGTTGCAAGAACTCTGTCGCGGCATTTCAGAAGACACACCGCGTGATGACCTACCGCGCCATCTATAAATACATGAATGAAACTTTTTTTGAAAATTTCCCTTGAAGGCTATATTTTCAGGCTACATCCAGAAACCGCCGATGTCTTTCTTTGTATCTTGTTGTGCTAAAGTGCGACGTTGTCATCCTGCTAGCTACGAATAACAATAAAGGGATATTCTTTGTGGTATCCCTCAAGAAGTTAAGCGAAGCTCTGACGTTCGTATTTATTTGTATTTTTATGCGAAAGGGGTTGGGTGGTAAGTCCCAACACGTAGTATGTTTTGGTTTGAATTTACCTCTTAAAAGAATTCCATTGTAAATTTTCTCTTCCTAAGTTTCGGAAGAGAATTCTTAGCGAGTCGGCATCGGTGGGTCGTTACCTGCGTTCAGATGCCGCACGTAGTCCCGCCGGAGCGGAACCCCGATCCCGTTCAGGTGGAGGGAGGCCATTCCGGCAGCGGCGGCCGGCCCGGCGCCCTCCACCTGCAGACGCTGCACCTCGTGCACGCACGCCTGCCGCCGGTGCGCTGGAACACGTGGCATCGTATTAGATGGCGTATTGTATACGCCAACAGCATCCGCTCAAGACGCAGACAGCAATAGATTCTTTTTTTTTTAACGTTTAACTGTCTTGTAGTCGCGATTAGGCGATAGGCAACGCTAGATTCTGCAGATCAGGGGTTGCCAATACTTCAGGACATATTTTTAAACAACGTTATCTAGTCCCAAACTAAGCCAAGCTTGTACTGTGGAAACTAGGTAACTGATAACCATTCTTAAACGTAATTTTCTTTCGTAAGTAAATACATATTATAGAACAATCACCCTAGAAAAACACTGGTCATGATACAATATTTTCCAGTAGTGGAGATCGAGCCCAAGCGCAAGAGACTGAGTCACTATCTACTACGCCAATTGAGTTAACTATTGTCGATAATAAAGTTACATTATAGATGAAATATACCATAAAACTTGGTATTATAACAAAGAAAAGTAATCTATTATTGCCTTAATTAATATACATTAAGGTAATTGTACTCACTGGCTAAAAGCAAGAGTCTTTCGCCTTCAGCCTGCTCTGTGGAACCGCAGAACTCTATGGTAGCCGCGCAGAGATTCAATGCTTGACTTGCCTGTAATTTGTTTTATTAATTTATTTAAGCGAATTTTTTATACTAGACTGACAGATAGTACAACTCTGTACCGTCTGTCTGTCCCGTGACCATAAACGGGATAGACTGTCTGGCCCCGATATCAATCGAATATCCGTGACTATTTTTGACCATTTACGTTAGTTTTAACGGTCGTTGTCAATAACCTATCTGTAGATTTGGTTAATACAGATTTTGAATTTTGAAGTTACTATCGATCGAAGGTTCAAAGCACCTGCGATATGATGGTTTGCTGCTTGGCTATCTCGCTCTGGAGCTCCTTGATGCGCTCCCGCACTGTGGTCACGCTGGCGACAGGCTGCTCGGGCGTGGGCGGCACCTCGCGCTCGGGCGAACCGTGCCTGATCACCCGCATGGGCGTCGACGGGGTGCTCGACTGCGGAACGAAAATGATTTATGTACGTCATTACTCTTCATCATCATCATATCAACCTGTTTGGGTGCACTGCTGAACACAGGCCTCCCCCGCAGACCGCTACCTGCATCCATCGACTTCCTGCACATTTGCACAGGTCGTCACTCCATAATTATTACTCTTACTCGTACATAATTCGAAAAAGGAACGGCTGGAAACTGAGAAGTTTAAGACGCAGAATTGTCGGGAGTTTTCGGCGCTGCGGCATTAATTCAATCCCGTAGTGTCTTGACAATCAATAAGTGTAATGCATAATAACATATTGAATGAAGATATTTTACATTTGCTTCTGCGGTGTATTGCCAGACCCTTTGCCAACTAACGGCCAGTTTCAATATTCTATCCAAAGATAAAATATTGAAGAAAAAGATTAATTTTGAATTTTCTGCAACGATTTCTCTCTATTTTGAAACTTATCAAAAGATTTCGGTGCAGGTATTAAAATCCATATACTACGGCTAGCTCTTCTATGATACGACTACTAAGTCGCGTCGTTTCTTTTCAATTTTTTATTCAAACACAAAGTATGACAAGAACAAATCTTTGAACACGATAAGTTTTAACAGAAATCGGCTAGATGAACATGTCGACCAATACTTACGGCGTTTTGCATCCGTCTGTAGAAACTGACGCTGTGAACTAGCTCCGCACCGCGGTCGTGCCTGGCTGGCGTATTAGCAGGTGGCACCTTCACCGGGGACTTGAACTTGGCACGTTCCTCATACACAAAGCTCGAGGAAGACAGGCCCTGCTGTGACAAGTAAATAAATAAAATTGAAGTAAATAAATAAAATTGATTATTCTATTGAGCCGTGATGGCTCAGTGTCCGGGCGTTTGCTTTTCAATTCGAGTAATTCCGGTGCCAGCACCAATGAAATTATTAATTGCTGAAATAGTTTATGAATTAAGTGCTGAAGTATCACGTGATCAGCGGTGAAGGAAAACATCATTACCTATATATTTTTAGTTAAAATTTGTAATAAAATTTTCGTACAGCTGTAATATATCTTGATAGTTTGTTTTCGCAAATCACCTTATGTTTTTAACCAACATATATGATCTTGTATTGGCATGTCATCATGTGGCCGTTAATTGTAGCGTTAAAATACAATAGTCGGATCGTGGCAAAAATAGAAACGTTGAATAAATGGGCCGTAATTCTAAAAATTTTCTTTTATCGATTTAATATAATATTTGATTTATTATTACATAAACGATTCTATAAAAAAAATTCTAAAAATTAAAATATTTAAAGTCAATTAAAAGCGTGTGTCCATTTAGAAAAACTGCAAGCATGCACATACATAAAATATTTCGTTTGGAACCATAACGGGCCAGAGGCTTATTTTAATTTGAAGAACGTTCGAGGAAAAAAAAACAGAAGGAAATGAGATGGGACGTGTGATACTGGGGTATATTCGGCGCCTTTGATTTTAGTTTTAATTTCATGAATACACTCAATCTCTGAAGCGATTTCTCAGATTGTTAATATTAAAAAAATACGACATTTAGTCGTGTGGTGTTTCGTTTCCGCCCGAAAAAAATCTGCAGTTCCAATGCATATATGGTGAGTTGTATCCCGTTCTCATTGCAGAGGTAATGGGAACAGGCCTTTGTTTTATATTTTATCGGAGGATATTTTTGTTGTGACTGTTTTTGCTTCCATACTATAATAATAATAATAATAATAATATAATAATAATAATAATTTATTTATATATATATATATATATATAAATATGTTTATTTTTATAAATAATATTTATTTTATATATGCAATATATATCTATATCTTTATTTTTATTTTTATTTATAAACCCAACCAGACGAGAAAACAAATGAATATCCCCCCAATAATAATAAAATATCTTTATTCACATAGATATTACATACTATGTAATTAAAGCCTTTAGTGTCGCCTACGTGAGAGATGTCGCCATTGCGTTTTAGAAATTTAATTATTCATAGTGCTAATCTCTGCATTTAAGATTAAACATGAAAATATGTAGAAAACGTACGAAAATATTGTCGCCGCTGTGGGAATCGAACCCACGTCTTTGGTATTCGCGGCTTGACGCTTTAGCCACTAAGCTAAACGGCTGATAGCCACACCGACGAAAATCTTAACCTTAATCTTTATCTACATTGTTTCTTAGCATTTGAAGCACACAGTTATGACGTCTTTTATTCTTAACATATCGGTAATATACATCAAGAGTACTAAGTAACGTCAATTCTTGTACAAGTGTGCGACAGAGATAACGCTCTACAAAGCTGAAAACAGCCGATTAGTTCTGTCCAAAGACATATCAAAGGGCGTATTATTATGTCGAAGAATACATTGTGATATGTGCGAATGACTCTTGCTCTGCACTTGCAAGTCCCCTGGCTGCTGCTGATTTTATACCCAACTAATTTAGTACACTTTTATCATTTAAAAAAAAATAAGACCTCGGAGTCCCTTGCCGGTTCTTCACTGGACAGGTCTAATTTAATTAACCGGTGGTAGTATTTTGACGTTCAATAAGAGCTTAAAACAAACGTATGTTGAATATAGAAATTTTATGTGGAATAACATATATCTACCGTATGCACCTAACCATATAATCAATTTCGTATGGAACCCTCGTGAATGGACTAGCGTTGTCGTGAAAATATCGATATCGAAAATAGTATCAAAAACGATACTTTTTCAAATTAGAATCAGGCACAGAGTCCTTTTCGTACGACGGGGTTTCTAGAAACTTTATCCGATATATTTACACTTCCTCTTCGATATATCGAGGCCGACATTGATATTTTTAAAAGTATCGATATATTTCTTCACTTCAAACATCCGGGGTCGGGGCAACCCCTACGCCTCGGGCATTATCTCGACCAGCAAAGGCTTGGTCGGTGATTCAAACATCCCTAAAACGGATGCGGCGCGCGCTTACCCGGTTATTTAAGAATACCTTGTTTACTTTAGGCGGTGTCGGCCCCTCGCCTTCCTCCAACGCCTCGTCGAGCAGATCGTCGAGCTCGCTGTCGCACGCGCTGTGAGAGCTGTCCGTGTCGTACTCCCGCACCGCCTTCTTGTAGCTAGTGTTGTTTTTCTTCACAACCTTTAGACGGATGGATAAACATCACAACTTGTTGTATTCACTCGATTACACATTAGAAAATTAAGCTATTTTTACGGATTTATCGCGCCTCTTCTCAGCTTTTATTCCCGTGACAATGACCTTTGCAGGAGTGGGCAGGTCCACCCAGGTGAGTGCCACGATCTCACAGAAGACTTTGTGCCTTGGCGTTGCCAATTGAAAAAATGTGGACCCAAATTACCTCACTCACCAGACGAAACGCAGAAGTGTACTAGGCATCCAGATTATCCGTGACTCACTTTCGTAGGCGTCAGCTGAGAATCAGCGCTACCTCAACCGTAGCATTATGCGGAGCTCGCTATCTTTTGGTGGTCGCATATACCGACTTTGTATTTATTATTCGATATTAGGAAAATTATTAATTTTATTTATATGTAAATTAGTTATTTTGTTTTTTTTTTTTTTGTAAACGGTGTTTGTGTACGATTAATAAAGATTTTCTATTCTATTAACACTTCCAATTCACGCCGGTCTTCTGTGAGGTCGCTCTGTGAAGTGGCAGTGATTATGTGAGTGCTATCAGTAACCTATTTCCGTTAGAACAAGCTTTGCTTAGTTTAGGACTAGGTAACGTTATGGTGGAAATGGGTATAAAACATTTTATATGGATAAATATTTACGGTACCGTAAGACATACTTACGTTCATAACCTCCCTTCCGAAGGACGTTTCTGCCCAATTGTCCGATTTATTTAGGTTCTCCTGTGCTGCTTTGTCCCCGCTGAAATAGGATAGATAGTTTTAATCAAAGAGAAAAATTGCAAAAATTGTTTAGTCTGACTTATGCCATGACACGTCTGTGAATAACTCGGCAAAATGGGATAATATAACCTTCATTCTTTTCACTTTGCCGTGGACTGTCTTCTCAGTGTGCTTTGATGGTGTTAATTTTCAAATATAAATACTTGTTAAAGGTAAATGGTAGAACAAACTATAATATGGCATAACTCAACAATAAACTACATAGTCAACAAATACAAAAATGGTATATCTACACATAACAATATAGGTGCATTTAAATCTTCGTTTGCCTATAATGAGCAAAAATCTTAAGATCTACTTTTGAGAGTGCAATAACAATGAACCAATGAATGATTTTAATATGACTATTTACTATTAATAAACAAATACTAAATCATAAATTAGACATATTCAAGTCTAATTCTATCTAAAAGCAAGATAAGATATTTAAATTTTATTTTCGAATAGTACCTATACCATGAAACGACAAGAGGGATTACGGTACCTACATTAAAAAAATACTAGCTTGCTGCATTTACGTGTTTGTGCTTTCTTTCCGGTAGGTGGCGTCGTATCTAAAAAGTATTTTCTTTCTTTCGAGTGACATTGAATTATTCATTTTCCGAAGTAAGGAGATTACAACGTTTACAGATATTTGTTAGTCAAAGTGGAATATTGTAACTTTAGTAAGTTAAATTTGGAAAAATGAGGACCTACATGACCCTAAGTGGTTAATAAAACATCGAGTTAAAATCAGGCATCGTTTCGTCTGATCCAGTCACACAAAAACTTTTTATTTTCGAAAACAGATATTAAACCTCCATCTTAGTCTAAGCAGTAAAAAAAATATCGTTCTCTATGCGTCTCTTTTTGTCAAACCTAAAAATTGAGCATCATGCAGTACCCTGATTGTGATGTAATTGAGATTAACTGTGGTAGGTCCATACACTGAACACTGCTGCACGAATGGGCAGGTCCGTCCGGGTAAGTACGACGACCTCACAGAAGACCGGCGTAAAGTAGAAGTGTTACACTTGTGTATTTCGTCTGGTGAGTGAGGTAATCGGGGCCCACTTTATTTAAAGGTGGCAACGCATTTGCAGCACTACGGGTGTTGCAAATGTCCATGGGCGGCGGTTATCACTTAATATCAGGTGAACCGTCAGCTCGTTTGCCACTTTGTCACATAAAAAACCCCGATTTCATTCGTTAATTTATTTTGTATGTTCTATTCTCTCTTTTTTATTATTTTTATGTTCTATCTTAACTAACATTATTTTGTGTTCATCATTGAAAGAAAAAGAGGGACCTCGACGAATGGAGTCAGTCGTCCAGCGTTCAGCGTCATAATGCTTAATTAAACAAATAAATAGGTTCCTATAAATTATAACGGAAAATTAAAAATACCAAACAACAAAAAACATATGTTCTATGTTCCTAAGGTTAAATTAAAAATAACTCAAAATAACACTTAAATGTGTAAATTTAATACTATTTGAAAGGTGGTGCTTCCCATGTTGTCCCATATCATTGGTATTGGATCTTGGGTTCCGGAGATACTTAAGGAAATCAATTATAAAATGAAAACAGAGCGAGATACTTGAAGTCGGTTTTGTTTTTCGTTAGTAAAAAATGGTTATACAGCACAAGGACCAGTGACGTATTTTAATTTTTCTTATTGATGTTTTTGCTTTCGTTCCGCAGCTGTACAAAGCTTCATCGGGCACAGCTTTCGTGAGTTTAAACATTTGATCAGTGATGGTCAACCCCGCGCCTAATAATAATTTCGTTTTCTTGGTTTGACTGTAAATGTGTGTAATAACAACATTTCTTGAAAACAAAAAGGAGAAATTTATGATATTTTTAAAGATCCTAGCTGGCTATTTGTCAGAAATGAAATTAATTAAATCTAAATCTCTAAAAAAAAAAACAATTCTCACCGCGCTGTTTGCTTTGAATAAGTTTGGACACCGCTGCTTTAGATACCTAAGCAGGGCCACGTATGACACATGTATGCGTTATTAAAACGGGGCATTGTCGACTACGGGCCGTGAACTGTGTTATTTATTGGCTGGGATCGGTTAGAAATATTTTTCTCCAACATGTTACGGTAACATTAGTTTGTTCCGTTCCATAAGAAATATACCGTAGTCCTTAATTTACATCTGCCGTTTAAGTCATCGTGGCACATAATTTTCAGCGTACAACGAATGTAATTGAGGATAAGCTTGCATTTATTACTGTGGGAGGGCCGCGCAACAGTCTTCGAATCTGTTACATGAATGGGCAGGTCCGTCCGGGTATCACGACCTCGCTGAAGACCGGCGTAAAGGAATTGTTATACTTTCGCATTTCATCTGGTGAGTGAGGTAGTCGGGGCCCACTTTATTAAAAGTGGCAACGTATCTGCAGCCCTTCGGGTGATGCAAATGTCTATGGGCGGTTATGGTTATCACTTAACATCAGGTGAATCGCCAGCTCGCTTGCCACATTCTTAGATAAAAAAAAAGATATTTTAAGTTTAATTTTAATCAATCAACCAGTGTATCAACTTAATCCTTCCTAATATTATTGTTACGTGTTAGTCTTTGTTCTTTAGTGGTTTTAATAGTTGACACTAGATGGCGTTAGTTCCTTTGTGTGTTCATAACATTATAAACGCGGAGGTTGTATGTATGGATGGATGTTTGTTACTCTTTCACGCAAATACTACTGAAAGGATTTTAATGAAACTTTACAATAATATAGCTTATACATCAGAATAAGACATAGGCTATAATTTATATACATATTTTATGTATGTCTGTCTTTCTATCTTAATATTACACCTTCAGCTTATTCTACGCAGACGTAGTCGCGGGCATCAGCTAGTTATTCTATATTTCTAAAATGTCCCTTATTTATCCTTTCGCACACAGGATATCCTAGGATGCAAGAACCTTTTACGTACACCAATTTTTATATATTTGAGCAGGGATTAAAAACTCATGGAAGATAAATATTTATTTATTCTCTAGTAACTTATCGTTTCACAAGTTCACGGTCTTCTAGCCACCTCTGAAATATGTAAGTATAATAATTTGATGTTTGTATGTTTTTAAATAATCACTGTTAAAAATGCAGTATCATAGTTTGACAACCACTATGACAGCTAATAACTAGCTGGCAACTACTGGACTTATTTCGTGTGAAATCAGTAGAAAGTAGCCATATAAAATGTATTTCATTCATACGAATATTTTCAATTAAAAAAAATATTAGTTCATATAAACCACGCGCAAGCTGGTTTCGTTTGATACCCGTAATTTGTTATTGTATTTTTGAATATTGAAAATAATTCCTATGCATTTAGCATTATCCATGTTTGCACACTGAGAAGCTCTGAAAAGAAAACACACGGCAAGTAAAAAGAATAAAAAGGCGAGGTATCGTATTCAACATTTTATTTTTACAAAAATCCGATAGAAAAGTCTCTATTATCACAGACAAAGTAACTTAAAATTTAATAAAGGCAACCTGAAAGAGAGATTTCATTATTATGCTGCGAAAATATTAAAAGTTCGATAACATAAGGCTATGGCATTATATTCGTAACAATTGTAAATGCGTCAATGTTGACAACCATGTTCAGTTCTTTACCTTTAATCGTGTAAAGTGCATGGTTGTCACACTAAACGCAATCAACTGTGAAATATAACTTCAAATGTTTCTTTTCTCCATTCAATTAAACGAAGTGACAATAATACTATGTGCATTAAAATCTATGGCATGTTCACTGTTCAAAGCATTTTGGCGGGCTTTTTGACAGCTAAAATTATTGCAGCCACCGTTAAATGGCTTGAAGTGAATTAGTGAACGCCGCAGCTCTACAGATTTTAAAGTTTAAATTAATGATGAAAATTGTACTTTTGGCAATATTATAATTATCAGTAAGAAAAAAAACACAAATTTACGATCGGAAACTATTAAGATTTAAGAGGAAAAAACTTAACTAATTTGTTACTACTGGTTTTTAAGATGTACTTTTTTTTAATATATCATTTAAACTCGAAAAACCTACTATCCAGTCAATATTCAACTTGATACCAATTAGATAATGACGTTTTTATTTAAATTACTATTTTATTATTTGATGAAACACTTCTCTATCGACCATTTTTTAAAATACTATAAATTAGATTATAATAATCTGGGTAACGTTCACAGGAGCGTTCTGGTAAGTAGTTGCTTAAGAATTATGTAAAGCGGCCGTCATATAGTATACTCTAAGGGTGTAATTATTAGCCACGTAAGAACTAGCCTGAAAGAAATTGACTATATTATTCGTTCGTTCTCCATGTAAATCAACCAAAATCAAACAAATAATATATTAAAGGTTTATAAATATTCATATTTTACAATAGTCTACAACTTTCCCTAAAGGCAAGATGGATATTGTTAAATGTACTTTGCGATCATGGACCGAAGAAATATTTTTTAGTCACAACTCGACTTCACATTACCTCTTGATAATTGTAAAATACCAATAGAAAATTAATAGCGCTAGAACAATAGAACATCTATTTAATTAACTAAAGGTTTTGTTTTACTTTATAATGTCTTCCTTATTAGAGTCAATCCGTTTATTACTTCTATTTACAAGGAAACGAGTGATAAACATTTCAATAATAATATTAGGAATATTGTTTTCACATTGCATCTTAAAGAATTGGAACCTATGGACCGTTTATCTAAATGCGCGGGACAAACATACAACCCAATTATAAATAGCTAATACTCTATACTATACACAGTAAGCGCTACACTAACCTAGACGTAGGCAACATTACAGTCTTATTAAAGTATACATTGATATCTAATCTTAAGGGTGCACTCGACCTTTTCATTTTAATAAGGCATCGATTTATCAACTCATAAGTACTTACGATTCGATAAACACTAAATATCTTAAAAGAAATAACGCATACTATAAAGTACACAAAATCAAAATATACCAAATAAGACCTTATGACTTTCCGAACATACATTACATCTTACTCCCGCTAAACATAGACCACCATGTTGTTTTAATGAAGGCGTTATTTAATCTGTATACAAGTCCAACGATATCGTATTCCGCGCGAATTTGGGCCAAAGATATATGCATAGAGGGGGCCAAACGAGATTTTGATTGATTGTATTATTTTGTTTGTATTCGAAACTTATACGTTTCATGCTCAGAATATTTCTGAGAAACTTTACGAAACTTAACAAGTAAAGATATGAAACAACAATGGATTAGTCTATTTATTATATTATTATTTATTTAGTCTATTATTTGTTCAACGATAATTCAAGATGAAGTTTTCCGCCAAATAAAGCCTGTTTAGGTCCAGATAAACCTTGACATTCAAATCCCAAGGCTAAATTATCCGTTCTCGTTCCAATAAGGATAATAATAATATATATATATATATATATATATATATATATATATATATATATATATATATATATATATACATATATATTTAACAAGTCTGCACGATATTCTACCCATTGAATGTCAGCCGTTAATGTTTGTGTTGTATGCAATTGTTTTAAATCTATACTAATAAATCGAGGGGCGGTTTTTTTGTTCGGTTATATTGCGAAAACTACTGAGTCAGTCAGATATCGGAACAATACTTACACCATGAGATGCAGTATTTCGGAGGTTATATATAAGTTATGTTTATATATAGAAAGAATCGCCAAACTTTTTTTTTAAATTTAGTCGTTGATTTCATCGTTAATATTGATGATTTTAGAAGTATGTTGATTACTTTTTGTTTTATAACAAAATTAAACAGATGTGACTAATTAAAAAAAAATTGTGTTATATAGTTTTTTTTTTTTTTAATAAAAATCGTGATTATTCATCAACCCTTCCCAATCATGTAAAATAACTACCTATGCAAATGCAAGTATCCGCGTCTCACCTAATGTTTTATGACTTAAAAAATGTCGGATAATAAATAAGAATAAAAACCGATGCTACTAGCAATCTTCGACCAACTTGATCGGGTTGAAAGACGTGAGGCTATCGCGCTTTAGGTATATGTAGGCATACATAACGCGTTATTTACCTTACTCGAATAACTGCCTCAAGCCTTTCCGCCCCAGCCGCATCGGAGTTTTCCGAGAATTTGTGATTAAAACTGGAAGGGGCGCCTTCGAGTGACTAAGTGTGGAGTTACAGATCCTTGCGAAACAGAGCGCAGCCTCCTCGTCACGAAAAACCCGCCATCAGGGGGGGGGGGGGTTCTTCGCATTTGCGACAGGGCCACGAAAAGCCTATGCTAAGTACGGCGATAAAGTACACGATTGTTGCACTAAGCACGGTTCGTACGTGACCGAAATGGATAATAAAACCGTATTCGATGGGTGTGACGAAACCAGTATGTAGATGTGCTAATGAGCTAATAATGGTCGTGTGTGCAGTCACCTTTAGGAATATTGAAATATGGCGTGGCTCGTTTAAGTCTTTGTGTGTTTACTCTCGCCCGACACTCGGTGGGATAGACAGGTTCGTACGTTGCAAAGTTATTTAGAACTCATTTGGGTCTTCGAACCTTATACCTATTTAATTTTTTTCAGCCTACAGGTATCAGTCCTTTTAGTGGTTAAAATTTCATCGCGTTGATATAATCTTCGAGTCTTATACTAAGTCGATAATAAACTCCAAAAGGTCAAAAATCCCTATTAATCAATGCCAGTCTTTGTGCCATGTAAGTAATATGATGACTAATCGCGACCTTTCAAGGAAAATCACCCGTTTATATTTATTGATGACAATCACCACTGTGTAGTGAAAGAAATTGCTCCGACAACTGAACGTATTTCTTAGTATCATATGTTATGTTATATTTCATAGAAACATATGTTATATACTTGACCTTTCGAAATAAAGGATGAAGTGTAATACTTAGTCCTTCATTCCGAAAGTTCAAGTATCCCTGGGTTCTAAACGCATAGAGCCTTCTCGAGTATTGGCTTATAAACCGGTCCGGTTACTTTTGCGCGGGAACTTTCTAGATAGGGATTAACAAATACCTAAGTATCGATATGCATACAAAAGGGTCATTCCGATTTTTCGGTTTTGTTTTTTCCCCACGAACATCTCCGCTATGAAATGCCTGCCAGAATAGATAATCGGACAAATACAAATTAGATTTCGATTTGTTCCTTAATATTTTGCCTCATTTGAGAGTGCATCGATTTTATTGAGTAATTTGGCAACAATGATAGGGTCCAAGAGATATCAGTGCCAACGTCACAGCGTTTGAGAAAAATTTTAGTCTAGAAGAATCTAGGACGCAATATGGCATTGCGCCCGCATCCCGTCTTAGTGGAAATGTGAACACGTGTCAATGCCAACTGGTTGTTATCGCATATGGCTCGATCGCTAGCCCTTTGAGAACGTAACCTCGTTCAAAATCTGATTTTGGGAATAACTCAGCCAAGATTCGCTAACGGATAACATAAAGTAAATCCTCGATACATTACCGCTGATAGTACGTAGACAAATCGTAGTTATTTGTAAATTATGTAAAAAAGCTTCAGATATGGATCTTTATATAATTGTAATTGAATCGCAGCCCTAAACAAAAATCTAAAGTTATTATTTTAAATATATTTAGTAAACGATTAGTATAGTATACAAGTCTAGTATACCATCAGACCGTCTTTCTTTAACTTTGCAAAGGTCCCGTCAATATAGACTTTTCGCTCTAACATTCATCAATCTATTTAGTATACTCAAGTATTATTAAAGTAAATATTGGAGTATTTTCCATACAGTTTTACGTATACGGAAAATCCTTGCAAATGCAATCACCAAAGTTAGTTAAACATCCGCCCGATCATGGATGAACAAACATTTGACCAAACATTCATACCAAATGTTTGCCGGATGATAGTCGGGGCGAACGTTCCAAATAGTCCAAGGTTCAGATGCAGAGGAAGAAGAAAACGCATTCCAGGGCGTAGTGTCCACACCTGGATCCGCCGCAGTCGGAGTACTCCTCCTGGGAGTTGGAGTGGTCCGTCTCGATGTCTGAGAGGTGCGGGTATATGCTGGCCTGTGGCAGCGCCGAGCCATTCGTCTCTTTAGTGTTGTTGTTCACCTTTATCCTCTTCACGTCCTCCAGCACGGACAGCACCACCTGTGAGTCCTGAGAACCTGAAACGGTAATTGGCCATTTGAGCGGACTCAGCTTCGAACCTCTTTGAAATGACGACTGATTATTGGCACCGTGCCTAGAGGAATTTTTGAATAATCCTTACTAATATTATAAAGGCGAAAGTTTGTATGTATGGATGGATGTTTGTTACTCTTTCAAGCAAATACTACTGAATGGATATTAATGAAAATTTACAATAATATAGCTTATACATCAGAATAAAACATAGACTATAATTTATACACATATTTTTATGTATATTTGTCTTTCTGTCTGAATGTTACGCCTTCAGCCTATTCTACGCAGACGTAGTCGCGGGCTGCAGCTAGTTTGTCATAAAGGTAGTAATATCTCGCGCCGTGATAGTTCAGTCTCATTAATTCAACTAACAATTAAATGTTTAATGTTAAAATGAAGTTAGTGATTCCATGGTCTAATTTCATATTTTAAACCTTCTGTAACTTGTAAAGTGTTATGTGCTGTAAAGTGTTATCAGCCTATACATTTCCCACTGCTGGGCAAAGGCCTCCTCTGTACAGAGGGTATGGCAAATAACAAGGCAAGAACGAGTACCTTTATTTATTTGGTGTTGCCTTCACGTATGGCTATGTCACAACTTTCACACAAAATTTTTCGTGTACTATATTATAGAAGACAGACGTCGAAACAACAGCCGTTTTGTGAGACCAATTAAATTTTTGCTAAGTGAAGGCAAATGACATGTCAAGGTTTTTTCGACCTGAAATGTTCATTACGTAAAGAACCGATCGCTATTTTAAAACCCGTTAATTGCGTTGTAAACTAATTAGCAATAACTCTAGTTATTGAGCCTTTATAAACTGAAAAAACTCGTATGTAAAGCTCGTTAAGTTTAATTAACCCAATTGACCCTTTTAGTTTATATTTTTATCTTATTGGTTGCTACATATTTGTTACTTAACTTAGTTTATTTGTATTACATGTTTAATGTCGTTAAAATACGAATTTTGGTCATTCTAACAACATTAACATTACTATGGAATACATCGAATCAATGTGAAAATTTTACAAAAATGTGACAGGCGGAAAAAGTTTGAAAAATAAATAGCCCTGGAAGTTAAACCCGTTAACAAGAGTTTCCTCATAGAAATCCTCTTTGATGTGAGAAATTCAGGACCAATAGAAAGAGAAATGGGAACTCAAAAATAGAATTAAAAAGTAAGACAACTCACTTCTCCTCTTAATTGGTTGCGAGGCGACAACCTTGTCATCTTTGTCGGTGGGCGTGGTATCCTTGTCGTCGAACGTGACCTTGGGCAAGTTGGACACTATCTCCGGCTTCTTGCCGGCCAGCGCTAGGCTGGTGGTGCTGCCCATGAGGGGGGCCTTCTCCGAAGGGTCGTTTTCACTCTGATCATCGTCAGAATCATTGTTCTGTTGAGTTTCTTCCGCCTTAGGCTGCAAAGTGAGAAGCGTTGTAGTAAAAGAACAATACTAATAACTGTTACGCCTTAAATTACTTTTAAAACGTGAACCCGTCCAAAATAGATGATATTGTAAAGGTGTCAAATTATTTCTGATGTTTATTTATGATGTTTGGGTGCTACTTAATTCGCATAAAACAGAGGTGGACGAGAAGTCATAATTATTGATCGATCGATCTCTAGCAATATCTTAACTCTTAAACCGATCGATCGGACTATTAAAAACTGAAATAGGGCAGTATCTCCGAGCGTATATTTCGCATATCAAACTTGAGAGTTATATTTTGGTTGAAACCGTTTGAAACAGCACCTACGGGTACTGCGCATGTCCGTCGAGTAATAACTTAATATCGTGTGAATCTTTGAAATTGTTTGCCAAATTCTCTCAATTAGACTTTTATTAACAAAACAAGACTAAACACCTCACTCACAGTTATACAGAAAGAAAGAAGTAATATAGTACTACATGGGATCTAAATCGGACCAAATGCAAACAGAATTTTCACAAATGACTTCTGAGATAACAAACAAAAATACAACCGCATTGTGAACCTTCTCCTTAGTGTCGTCGGTTGATAACAAAAAAGAATACAATACGTACATAACACCGCCTCAAACAGTGCATCGACCGTGGCGCATCTTTAAGATGAAATAGTTACGTGCACGAAATCTGGCTCGTGTGAAATATCTACGAACTTTAAAGAACGCACACACCCATATGCGGTTTGCGTCATTGCATCATGAAAGAAAGAAAACTCGCTAGGGGCGCTAAAAGATAGATAGCGTAACGTGAACTTGCGTAGGTGGACAATAATTATCACGTATTGTCCATATTGGCACGTCTATCGTTATTAGCCGACACCGTCCACTTTCGCTTCAATGTTTTATTATTAGAACGGGTTTCGGATTCCGATCTATGCTAAATAAGTGAACATTCTGGATGTTACTATAACAACTGATTTCAGCTATATACCTTTTAAATATCATAGTAATGTTAAGAAAAACCTTTTACATAATGTCAAAGGAAAGCTATTATTACGAAATTTAATTAAATACAATTAATTTTGTTGAATTCCAGTGTGTTTTTTATCGAAACCCGTATCATATTCCGCCAAATTTATATAAAACTTGATTGTAAGCATAGTTATATAGTTGCTTATGTATACTGCTGTAAGAAATGAAAATCAATTGGGTCTATGCCACAATGGGTCTGACATAAATCAAAAAAAAAAATACAAAATTAAAACGAAATGAACAACTTGGGTCTTAATAATTTTTTCCCAAATTTCTACTAAGATCTTCCGTATATTTTCCATCTATCCGAAAGAGAATATTGTCAATGATTTTAGTGTACTTAGAGTTAAGCCGGTGGAGATACTTCTTATTTCGACAGGAGGTTCAAACTCGGTAGTGTAATCGTTTATTGAAAAAAAAAAAAAAACTTTTTTTTCAAAGAAAATGCCATTCTATTCCCTACAAAACAGAACTTGTTGAAAATGCAGTAGTTATTCATAAATACCTAAATTTTACTGTGCACGAACTTGTGTGCGTGTTAGTTATGAATGATCGCGCGTAAAAGAAACGATTTGCGTATAAATCACGCACTTTTTGAGATAAGTTCAAATTAATGTAATTAATTACTTACGAGTAATTTTAAATATTTATAATTTTTTATATAACATTATTTATCTATAGAATTTAATTAAAAAAATGGATACACTTAGAAAAGTATCACTGTATATAAAACAGAACTGACTGGTTTGTTACTATCATACAAATAAAATTGAACTAAACTACCTATATTAGAATTGTAATAAGCACGATAGTCTATATATCTTTTCTATGGAAGCTGGCCACGACTGCGTAGTAAATTTATTAGGGCACAGCGGCCTTAGCTCTTATTAAAGGACGTTATGTATTACGTTACTTCTTTACTATTTTCATTCCTTATACGTCCAAGTCTAGAGTTAATATATATTATAACAGTCACAATTAGCAGAAACTGGTAACCGTTATCAAAGCGACCGTCACAGAAACGATTTGGAAAATCATTATCGACATAGTTATCAAAAATTCTTAAGCTGTGCTATGAATTTTAAAATCCTACAAACATCTGTACGTAAAAACACTTACGATCACAACCAGAAGATTTAATAAAATTAAGACGACGTTAAGACACGACGCTAATAGATCGGGATAAGGCAGGATCTATTTATAAAGAGCTAAGTGTTAACTCAAGCTTTATTTCTGATACAGACAGTGCGTGTATTTTCGTTCGTTAGTTTTAAAGACATGAATACAGTGTGTGTAACTTTCGAATAACCTTCAATATGTGGCTAAAGTAAATGCTGCATTCATTTATTCAGTGCACATTTACAAAAGCTTTAAGAAAGCTTATTTGCTGTAATATCGTAAGAGAAGCGAGTTTTTTCGTGTTATAATACTCTGATGTAGTCAGTTCATCTTTTTGAGATTTCAAAACAGCATCAAGATCTACAATCTCGTAATTAGTGATTTCAGTATAGCTTACGAGTTTTAACGTGAGATGTAACACAATGTAAGTTTATCGTTGACACACGAGTGTCTCGCAGAGCCGTTTTAAATATCCTTAATGCGGTGTAGGGATCGTTGGACGTGGCCTGACACGGAAATTATGCATTGCGTTTGCGGTTGATCGACTTTAAGTTCTACTTAACTGTCCACAATTCAATTAAATAGGTTGAAGCGTGCATCTCAACTCCAAACGACAATTTTAATATCTTGCCAATGGTTTTTAAGCCTTAGATAATAAAAAATGTTCCTTATTCTTTCTAGAAAGGGGACCATCTATTACTGGTACGTGTGTTAACTTTTTCTAGTAAACGTTTAACTACTATTGCTCACTAGAGTGTGGGCGGTTTTTGTTTTTACATTACTACATTAGGAAGTTTCAGATACCTTCTCGAGTGTTATTGTATCGAGGGGTTGGCAAACGAGTTAGCTTCGCCTAACTGATCACTTTTATCCACCGTGAGCTTTGAAGGTGACCAGGAACCTTACTCGGTGCTCGAAGCGAACACAGCATAGATCCAGAAGCAGAAGAAGATGCGCGATATTAACACAGAAAAGGACTGGTGAGTGAGGTGAGGTCACTGGGGCCCCGTTTGTGAAAGGATTGCAACGAATCTGCACCCCTACGGGTGTTCGAGATGTTGCAATTAGCATCGGGTCGGTAGCTCGCTTGCCACCTGTTATCAGTCACCTGTTATATGTCATTTTAATGTGAAAAGTTGACAAGCAAGCATGCGGTCCACGTTAAACGATTATCGCTACCCATGTACATCGACACGATGCGAACTATTAAAAAAGGCCGACACCGGGTCCCTCAGTCACAAGACTAGGCGCTAAAGTATGATACTCCCTTACAAGTCTCGCCGGTCTTCCCAGAGGCAGTGGTACCTACTTGCCCGGTCGTGTAACACTAAAAACACATGAAAACATACACACCTTGTAGTGGAATCTGTTCTGCAACATCTCCATCTCCTTCTCCCTCTCCTGTTTGAACTTGTTCGCGATAGTCGTCTCGCTTATCGTCTGTTCCTTGTTGAAGAGGGCCGCCAGCTTGCCCTTTATACCGCCGCCGAGGGAGCTCTGGCTGACAGAGTCCTCGTTAATGCTGGCTTTAGAGCTGGTCCTAGAGTTGCTGGAGAGATTCGTCCTGGAACCGGACGAGTGTACTGGCGTCGTCTCCGACTGGGCTTTCGTGTTCTGTGCCGTGCGCGGTTTGTCGGCTGAAAGTGAAGAAGAACATGGAGAAATTGTTGATAGCGACCGTCGTTGTCATAGTGGATGTTACATACTGTACACGCGAGGGTTAGCGTCGGAACAAGTGTGTACGGTACTTTACGTGTGGTATTCGAGTTCAACGTATAGCGCCAATGGTGTTTTTTTTTGCTTATGACTGCAAAACGTTTGCGAATGCGGATGGATAGGTCTTACCGTGTAAGGAGGTACGTTTTTATCAGAAATCGTTGTGGGATGTCATCTGGAATAGTGTTGTGTGTGTACTTATGTACTTGCGTGCGTATGAGAGGTGTATAAGTGTTTAGTTTTTTATTCTAGTAAAAAAACAACTTCTTTGATGTTAATGCGTTATAAATCATCGTCTCGACATCGGGGACGACGACAAAAGCGACGTGTCATGTTCGTCCGAATAACTCTGAGTAAGAAATTTGTTCTAACGTGGTACGTACTGATTAAGAATAAACAACGTTTTAGCGTTAAAAACAATAACACGTATTTAGTTAAGAAAGATCTTTTAAATCAATAACAAAACGCCCGGGTAAAACAAAACACGGACAAGAAGAATATCACCTGTGAAAATCTAAACTAGAGTCACTAGACCCAAGGACATTTTCCAATACGATGATAACGTTAAATATTCATTAGTTACGTGATCGCTACCCGCATGCATGGCTCCTCTTAGCCTGCCAGTCCGATAAGATACGACAGGTTTAGCACATATCAAACTTAGTTCACTAAACTAGATTCACCTGACGTTATCGACCCTATATGTTATAGGTTCGATCCTAAAGGGGGACTCATTTTTGTGCTATATAAGGTTGCTCAGAGAGCACTAAACTTATTGCGACCCGGGAATAATTTGCGGGAGTGGTTCTTTTCATAAAATAAAAAAAGGGGGACAGAGTAGTTTTATGTTGTAAACTTATAGTAGGCTGCATGTCGAAGTGATATTTGGAAAACATCAGACTGTCTCTGTCTATCCAATTAGGGTTGAAAAGCGTGAGAGCCCGATTGAAACCTAAACGCGAACGTCACGCTAATGTAACTGTTGACATGGAAACAATGAACTAACAAAGACGTTGCTATAACTCCGCTAACCGATGAGACATAGCCAATTCGCACATATACAACGGTAATATAGTTCAAGGCTGTTTCGATTCATAATCATAAAGTATCAATTTCATAACGTCTGCAGTGGTGTAGCAGATCTGTAAAAATCTTACTTCAATAAAAAAAATTATTCCCCCAATTTCGTGTTTATTTACACTAAACAAAATATAAACTACAGTTTTTATAAAAAGAAATCTTTAGAATGCGTCGACGCATCGGTCGACTGTGGACTTAGAGGGCTGAAACAAGACCCCAAATATACTTAATGACGTAGTTTTCGTTTGATTTCATCAACTCTAAAAGTAGATCGTTTGTGTTACAGACGTAAGCTCGGTTTCAATATTCTTTGTATCTCTAGATTTGGTTACTGGAGATAGAATTTACTGGAAATAGAGCTAATGACAAATATCTATGGCTAATAACCATATCTACGGACAGATAGAATATTGAAAATAGCCGATAGTGGATTTTCTCACCAAAAGGAAAAATAACATGTATCGACATATGAATATTTAGCATGTTGTATAGGATTTTCCTGATTCTCAATATTTGATTTATAAATATCTCAGTTTCTTGTAAGGCATTGTTGAATATTTAAACGAATACCAGACGACATGACGTAGTCAAAAGTTAATAAAAGGATACATAACGATATACTCGTTATGTATCCGGTGTTAGGATTTTGCAAGCAAGTAGGCAAGTAGGCAAGTAGGTAAAAAAAATTATAAGCAAAATACAAATAATCATATCTTAAAAGCATCCAGTGCTAAGTAGTTTTTAAATGACCACTGTTTAATTAAACATATTTAATATTAATGTATGGTTTGATATGTTCTGAAAAATAGGGTTATAAACAAAACATTTATTTATCCAAACTTTGTTATGATAACGTAATAGCAAAAACATTGTTATAAGTAACGAGGTCTATACAAACGCTTTTGTACTTTAAAATAATTACCTCATTTACATCGCACTTGAATAAAAACGTATCTAAATAAACCATAAAATCATTTAATAACATATACGACAAAAAAAAAACAACAAAATTGGAATTGTAAGGTTACACTTATTAATAGCGCATAGTTTAAACTTCAAGGATGCTGTGTTATAAGATTATGAAATAAACTATATTTTATTAATTTTTTAAAGGCACACGTTATATAAAAAAATAAAATAAATAATTTCTTATTCCAAAACTATCACTTATCCTCTGAAACCAATCAAAGTGGTCAAATTTATGTTGTCAAAATTTTCTATATTATTACTCAAGTATATTCAAAGTTCCCTGTATTCACTTAAAAAAACAAATAGAACAAAACTCCACTTACTGGCACAGAACAAACTGGCTGGTAAAAAAAAAAGATTTATGTCAAAACCGAAAGAAAAGAAAAAAGTTAATCTCGGGACCGGTGCGAGTGGCCAGTGCGTAGCGGCTGCGTCGCGTTCGATCGGCGCGCAACGGAATGGCGCCTCGCGGATTGCGGATTGCGTCGCCGGGGCCGAGTCCACCTCTCCCGCGCTGTTGACCGGTACAGTGGCGCGGACGGACCGGCTTCCGAAATCCCACGCCCGCGATTCGGACGTCGCGGACCGTTTCGATGCGCCTCAATTGGCGCGCTTTAATGCTCGGCACGCCTATACAGATGTTCGCTCGCTTCCGATCGATGGTCGCTGCGTTTTGCTCTATTACCATGCAGCTCTATTACTTGAAAAGGCAACGGACCCGATAATTGGTACAACGCTTCGTTTGTACGCATGTATTCGTGACTTGGTTAAAAAATTCTAATAAAAAAATATTTATAATACGACAACATGGCCTCAAAGATTTTTCTCTGTTAAACACAATCATTTAAAAAATGCATGGATAACTTTTTTTTATTTTTTTTTTATTTTATAAAATCATTGCCCTCACTTTTAGGATAACATTATCCTGTGTTATAAGGACGTTTTACAAACATAAATTGCACGAGGACAAACACCCAGATGCGAAACAACTATCTGCCTCGCAACTATCTGGGTCGCACAAATAGTTGTCCCATGTAGGAATCGAACCCACGACCCGCGACGCCGAAGCCAATACCTCGGCAACTCCGCCACGGAGTCATCGAAATCACTTACAAACTTTACTTCTAAATAAAATAAAGTTTTTAGCAGTGAACGGAATAATTTCACTGTATTATTATAAAATATAAGAGCATAGTAAACTTAAATTAATTATCGATTTTATCTATGAACATGGAAAAACAATAGAAGTAGTCATGACGAGTACAATTAACGAAATTGTACAAACGTGTACTGTTAATTCAACGGCAATAATTATGAAATTAACAAACAAAAGGTTGTCTACGGCCACGATTTATTCCTAGCGTGCCTGTCATGAATTATTAACGATTCTAACGTCGGAAAAAGAATCGAGAGATTATTTTACTTCATTTATACGAGTCTCCTTGTAATGAATGCTGGAACGTGCGAAAAATGCTTTTTGGAAGAGGGACAATTCAGAGAGGTCTACTGGTAAAAACGAATGAATGACGAGTATTATAGCTTATGTAAGATTTTGTGTTTTTTACAAAAAAATATATATATATTTTTGTGTTTTGTAAAAATAGCTAGTGAAATTTTGGAGTAGACAACTAGAATATGAAATAAAAAATATTTAAACGTAAAAATAATAAAACAAAAAAAATTCAACGTCAGTTGAGTCAATCGTAACGTTTTTCTTTCATACGATCTTTGAACCTAGAGAAGGTCTATGAGCTGGCTTATGAATTTTTCAAGTTTTAAGCATAATTGAAGTGATTGTCGATACCGTTACATAAGCAAAAGAAAGAAAATTGTTAACTGAGAGCGGTTACCCAGAATGTAAGATGTAAGATTTTTCTTCCGAACTTGCGTATGTGCGATATGTTTTATCCCGTAAGATTTATAGTTTTACGCCCTCTCTAAGATATGTAATACTAGAATGTGCCTACGGAAAAGATATGTTTCATTATGTGAAACGTCTATTAAGAGCATCGCAGAAGATGCAGCAGCTTAGGGCTAGTCTCAAATATTCTCTCGATAAACAATAGCGCATCGCTTGTCAACTCGAATCCGCTGCGTCGAATCAAGGTTGACAGCTTCCGAGGCTCCAACCTCGATTAGCGTTCATCTAATGACGTCATTTACTTAATGTTTTCATTCGACACATTGTGCTCAATTGATTTCGTTCGCTCTTTACGATATATATAAAGTGTGTGATTTGTTGTAGTTAGGAATATGCTACGTTACGTACACTTGGTGCATATGAAACACTATAATTTTGTTTTTACAAAGTCCATGGTCAAATAGTTTTATGTTATTTTAGGTCGACTGAGAAATTTCGAAATATCAAATATCTGAGTAGGTAGAAATGAAAGAGTGAGTATTCATTTCAATCATCGAATGCTAGCCCAAAAATCAAAAAATATTACAAAGAATGTCTACGTCATTTAAAATACATTACTCAAGTTTTTAAATCAACAACTTTTAATATTGAGATATGGGAGATATTGGATGAATTTTTAGTGAACTCATCACTAAAAATTTTCTATTTGATTTTGAGGAGTTTCGTAAGGAATCTCAAGAGTGCAAGGGCCTATAATAAGTAGGAAATTAAATTTATACGAGCACACAGGTACACCACACACACAATAACGTCTCTTACGGAATTGTACGGACTACTACATATATCTCTAACAGATCTAACATGTACGTTAAGATCTATCACATTACCGTTGCGGCAATCTGACCTGTATTAAATTCCCACATTTATAAATGACATTACAGAGTAAACATGTATAACTTGAAGCCAATAATAAAATCATCAATTTTTATCGCATCGTTCGTAGGCTACTCC